TATTCAGCCTCACAGAACTAATTTCATTTAAGCTTAAAATTGATTATGTTGTTTGAACTTTTAATTGGAGAAGGGAGTTGAAACTGATACTGATTGAAAAGGGTTCATTGATAGATTAGATATCTGGCCAGGGACAAATTAAATCCATAGAAGACAGTCAGGATAATGATGTAAATGAATATATTTTCCACAGACAATCGACCATACAACTTTAGTGTGGAATGCGAATGCGAGAATGAGGAATTGATTATGCCAACCAATTCCAAATTTGTGCAATCATCGCATGCCACATCCAGTCCCTCCCAGTCCCAGTCCCAGTGCCCTGCCCGATGACCCCATCCACACCCAAGAGACTACAAAACAATTGACTTTTGCGTTTGCCAAAGAAGGGGAAGCATTTGCACCACCACCACCACCACCACGGTCAGATGTTGGTTGTTTTTCGGTTTGTGCTGCCGATTGTTGGCATTCCACTCCATCTTCGATTGGGGTTTGCCATGCAGTAGGGTCTCGGGACACGCATTGCGCATAAAATTGCTTCAGTGTGGTTGGAGCGGCTGAGACTTAGGGTTTGGGGCCAAAGTTCCACTTCATTTGGGCCACTCATATCGAAGTCCGGGTCCGTCTCCGTATCCGTATCCGTATCCCTGCCTGTGTCCGTGTCCGTGTCCGGGGCCAAGTGTGCAGTTGATGTCTACATTTTCAGTATGTTGGTTAAGCACTCAGCAAGTTTGCTTGTTTTTCCGGTTTTCTGGCTCTACTGTTTCCGCTTTTGGTCTGCGCTGCGCTGCGCTGCTTTTTTCGTGGAAATTGAAAAAGTTTATGAGCAATTTTAAAAGTGTGTGCCGCAGACCCCCTAGCACCCAAGAACGAGATTGGGCTAATTTGGATTTTGTTTCAAATAGTACTGCTAATGAATGGACTCGTTGCCACTTGGGGCCTCCGGGGCCCCAACCCCGGACAGCTGTCAGCACTTGAAATGCAATTAATCAGGGCTCAAAGATGGCAGAAGGAAAAGTTTCTGGCCAAAACGATAACAAGGCCAACCACAAAGAAACCTTGCAAATACACACACACAAGCATATAGAGCCATGTTCATGTTTGACACTTTTACGGCTCTCACAGAAGCACATAAGAAAGAAAACGAGTCTTTGATGGTCGAAGCTGTGGATACCCTTGCAGATTGATTGGTCATATGGAAGGTGCATGAAAAAGTTTCCCAATTTGATCTGAACGACTCGTAATACCCTCGACTAATGCCCCACTAGTGCAAACTAGCGTGCGAAGTCGTAGAAGGAATAATGTGATGCAATAACATGCAACTTTGACACTTTCAAGTACAGCGGCCCCCCTCCCAAAAGGCTGTGCCCCAGACATCCCCACTGACCATGTGTTTCCCTGTGTTTGGGTGTGCTGTATATGTGTGTGTGGTGGCGTTGTGTTTGTGTGAGTTACATGCACTTAACGTTGATTTGTGCACCGACCGTGGGATCTCATACCAGCTCGAGGAGCACTCGGGGGCACTACACTCATCTCCACTCCGCTGCACTCCACTCAGCCTCAGCTTCGACCCCGGCCTGAGCTAAGTTTCATTTGCAATTTTCATCTGCAGCTGTTGCACGAGTGCCCAGCAAACAACCCACCCACACACATACACCATAAAGGACGAAGGGCAAGGGGAATATATACGAGAGGAGATGTGGCAAAATTGAATTGGAAATCAAGATACATTTGTAATTGAAAGGAAAGGCAACTATCATATTCTCTATCTCTCAAAGTTGGTTGAACATAAAGCACGCAAACTATAAGAAATGATCAAAGAAAGTGGAGATTTTAGAATGATTAATGCAGAGATTTATAAAATGTATAACCCCACAAAGTATCGACATTTTTGAGACACAACCTAATACGAGAGCCCCAGAAATTCAATGATTTTCGCACAAGCAACGTGCCTTTGTACAAATGAATAGTAATGCCCTAACATTCATTTAACGAAGGAGTAACCTCCAGAGAACCACAATCCCGTCAGTGTCTGGCTCTGCATCTGCCCCTGAAGTGGCAATTACATTTGTAAGCCGGTCCAGTCCGTCCATCCGTCTGTTCCCACCTGGCCAATGCAATTAAAATTAATAAATAAATATGATTTACAAACTAATAGAAAGCCAGAGACAGGATGACAGAGACAGGCCACAGGAGAGCCTGAAAAATCAGCAGACACTGGGAGGACGGGCGAGATGGCTATTAAATTGGTCGGAACCCCAAGAGCCAAGAACCAAGAACTTGAAATGAAATTAATACAACGCGATATTAAATTATTTTTAATTGGCCGACGCACCAAACGAAAGCGGTGGGCTCTCTGCGGGGAAATTGAATGAAAATTTTGGGAAACACTCGGCACTCAGTGCCCACTCATTCCCGAAATTCCCTCGTGGCAAGGCATCAAGGAGCCATCACCCAAGGTCAGAGGTCGTAATTACTCGATATTTTGTGCGCTTGTGGGGGCACCGCCGTTATGCTACATTAAGTACGGTGCTCCAAAGCCTTGACAGTTGCCAAACTGCCACAACTCCATTTGCAGTTGTCCGAGCTGTCCGTTGAGCGATGGGGTTTTGGTAATTATGACAACCGCAAACATCACAAAACATTCCCCTGTTCTGGAAGCTGCAATGAAAGCAATTCCTAATGGTTAATTAATTGATGTGTTGACAGTTGAAAAACCACAAGACTTGCCCAGGCAAATGGTTTAGGCTCAATTAATTTGAACCCAAGCGGAAACGATAAAGGGTTCTATTCTATGAGCATATCAACTTGCTCAGTCCAAGACTGATATTACCCACATGAATAATATTGTGTTGGTCCCTTAACCAACTATTTCCCATATCCTTCCATTCCAGCTAAGTCGTTAGAAACACTCTCTCTCTGTCCAATCGAGGACATATGTACGAGTATATCCGGCATGTGAAGTATCTAAGTAGACGATCAAATTGACTCAAACCACTATAGGCCTTTGGGCCATGTCTTTTTATGTGATTCTGTACCTATCGTTATGCTCATCACGTGGCTCGCATTAATTTGCACACACGATTTCCATGGGCCTGTTTGCGGGGTAATGCATATTGCCGCTAGATGTGCTTTATATGAGCTGCAAATTGGTTGCTCACGTAAATGATTTTCATTTTCCAATCATAACATTACGCGTGCCTGCACTGCCAAATGCTCACCTGTCTCTCGACCATGAATAGGCACAGAATTTCGACTGAATTTCGGGCTGATTCCGGTTCTGCCTCTGGAAAATATTTGTGGGGATTTCCCCAATTGGATTTCCCGCAGTGGTTTTTTGACTGCTGCTGCTGTTGCTACTGATTACAATGAAGCAAATTGAATTAACATATTGGCCGGCGGGCAGAATTATGCATCAGGCAGGATATGCCTCCTGTGAGGCTGGCGGCTTAAATTGTCTACAAATAATTTGTGGAGTGGAGTGGAGTGAAGTGGAGCAGGTTGTGGTTGTGGGTGGCATTACAATTATTAATGGCCTCATGCGCGACTTGTTTGCCTTTGTTAATGACGAGGCGAAAGTAAAAGGCACAAAGTGACGACAATTCGTGGAACCTGGAGCTACAGGCGCTGCAGGAGCAGTAGGTACAGCCGGTATAGCAGCCGGAACTGAAGCAAAGGCTGGAGGATCAGGAGCAAAAAAGTTAATTAAAAGTGCAATCAAGCGACAGCATGGACCGCAGCAGAGACCGGAGGTAAGTGTCCTGAACGAAGCTGACATTTTGCCTGCAACAGAGACGACAAAAAAGTATGAGAAAAACGTATGAGAGAGCAATTCCCAGAACACAGACAGCGATGGTTAGGGTGGAAGGCGGTGGCCATATGTCGGATATTGCACACAAGTCCTAGCGCAAATACGTCCACTCGAATGGAGGTGGATGAGGTTGCCCTTTGGCCCACCTTTGTCCCTCGCACAAATTGCTGCAATTATAGACGCCATAAATTATAACAACTTAAAGGAAAGGGAAAAAGTGAAATACCGAAGAGAGCAGTGAGCTTAAAAGTAGAGGGAAGGACCAGCAAGAAATGGTTTAAGAGCAGAGGGAAGGACCGACGGACAGAGAAAGAGAGAGAGTGATGAGACCTGGGGAAATGCATTTAATTGATTTCCCTGTCTGTTCATGTCTGGCAGGCAATATCATATTTATTGATTAATGGGCTAAAATACATATCAATTTGTTTTAGAAACCAAAACTAATGTTTGCAAGCAATTTTAACAGACAACAAAAATGGAGAGTTTAGTGTATTTTAAGATCGTTTTAATCCTCGTTCAAACAGTTCGAAACAGCTATGAGCGATAATAAATGAACGAGAAAATTAAGTGGACTACTCTTGGATATGAGAGACTACCCTGGCACACGTCCTACAACTGTCATTTTCTATCTGAACTCTTGTTGGATCCACATCTCTTCCATCATCTATCATTCTACCGAAAGGGTATTCAACAGTTCATCCTACTGAAAGCTTGATTTTGGATGATAAAATGAGATCATTATTGTGCCATTATTTTAAATTTTCAGATGCTCAGTTTACCCGAAACAGAATGGGCTATTAGTTGGAGCTGGTTTATCGTCATTTCAGGATGTACTCGCAGAGAAACGCTCTCATTTGGCTCGTTCTGCACCTATGTCTAGTAACAGAAGTACTTTTAATATTCACATATATTTTCGATACAATTTAAATATATGTACATTATAAATGCAATCACGTTGCAGATTGCGGGCGTGTTTGTTCTTACAAAAACCTGCTGTACTTCTTTGGATAAGAATTTCTGTGAAGTGACTTGCCCCATTAAGGCAGTAAACCGGACACACAAAATTGTATTTGGAAAACTGGAGCTATACAAAGTTCCTGTTACCAAAATCAAGGCAAGTAGACACCGTTTTATATACATACATATGCTATACAGACTAAATGGGTTCCTCTGCACCGATCAGGTTAATATGGCACTCTTCAAGCAATACCATGACTCGAAGGCGGTCCTCTATAATTTCACCTTCGAAGGTTGCAAAGTCCTGGACAGATCCGCCAGGAATCCTGTGTCTAATTTCTTCATGGAAATGCTCTCGACCTACTCCAATTTGAACCATTCATGTCCCTACAATGTGAGTAGAAGTCTTGACCTTTAAACTAGGAGTGCTTCGAATGCCAAACTCTTTTTAGCATGACCTTATGATAGTGCTCCCATACGATTTTCTCGAACCTCGACTATCGCCACTTCTGCCATTTCCTAATGGCGACTACCTCGTCGAAATGCACTGGATTCGATTTGGAAATCGTAGCGCCACGGCCAAAATATATTTCTCCCTACGATAATTACGAGTACATATGTTTTTTTTGTTCTCATTTGGTTGGAACAATAAAGTAATTGCCGAAAGACTAGAGCTAATTTGTGTAAATTCAATGACTTCATTTTGACAAATGCGATTATAAACGATGGAACACATTATGGAGCACTTTAGTTTATTTTAGTGTGATCATTGTGGTCAATGGATTATGACACTACAAGATGGATGCTACGGGAAATTCTGTGATTCAGTTCATGGTGATCCTACAATTAGACTGGGAAGTAAGGAGAGCAGGACACCTACTTTAATGGAATAAGGCAGTCCTCTTTCATATCCATTCCGGCTTGAGTTTTCGAGCATCAACTACATATACTTCCGTTGACAGAAAGACACCGAATTCGATTACTGCTATACGAAGTCGGCCAGCCGTGTGGCCAAATTCTTTTTTGAAACCTCGAATATTAACCAGTCCTGTCCCTACAATGTAAGTGGAATTGGACTAATGGCAGCACGACATCATTTTGGATAAGCTCCAAACGACTATGTCAATCACCAATTGACACAGGTTCGGCCCTTTCCCGAGGGCGATTCTCTCATTGCATCATATTCCAGTGTAACCCACACATGTCCTTACAATGTATGTAGTGGTAAATGCATTCTCCAGAACCGACTTTGTTAATCCCCGAGTGACGAAAATTCGTCCATTTCCCGAAGGGAAAAATTGCATCTCGTTGAAGCATTGAATAAAAATACTGATGGTTGTTCGAAATGATTGATTTTTGTATTGTTTAATGTCATTTTAAACGATTTGATAAGTCATGAGAAAAACTTAACTAAACTAGCCATCCATTCAGTATTATAATCTATTTTAAATTATTGTATGTATGTGCGGTGGCTTATTAAAAGTCTTGCAGCTATTTTAATGGAACATAAATACATTATTCTTCGGAGCGTCGACACTACAGTATGGACAATAAAAAGAGTTTTCTGATTCTCATCGTTGTGATCCTACATTTAGTTCTGAATGTATGGTAAACCTGCAGTATTCAGATATCATAATCAAATGATGAAAGCCTATAGACTTATTCCAGCATTGAATTTACGAACGTCAACTGCACTTCATTGGATAGTAAATTCGGGGAGTTCGAGTACTGCTACCTAAAGTCAGTGAATCGTACCTACAAATACTTCTCCGCAAAATTTAAAGTTTATGAGCTTCCTATTAAGTCCATGAAGGTATGTTGAAATGTTCATTAAACAATATTTACCTTACAATATCGTGCAGGTAAATTTTTCGTTGTGGAAGCGATACAATGGCTATAAGCCCTTCCTTTACAATGTCACCTTTGATGCCTGCAAATTCTTTGCCAATAACAACTCCAATCGTGTGATCAAGTTCTTTTATGAATCGTTTACGTACTACTCGAATATAAACCACACATGTCCCCTCAATGTAAGTGGAAAGTGCACTCTCCAGAACCAGCAGCCCTTAGTTTGTTCTTTGCAGCATGACATCATTATGGAAAAGCTTCCTATCGACTTTGTTAACCACCGAATGACGGAAATTCTTCCATTTCCCGAAGGGCAATATCTCGTTGAAGTACGTTGGATTCGTTCCGGAACTTATCTTGCATTTGGAAAGTTATATGCCACACTTTCTTGAATGACGGACAGAATTAAAAAACGGATGCTTGTTCGAAATGATTAATTCTGTGTTGTTTAATGTGATTTTAAGCGATTTGATACGACATGAGAAAAATTAAACTAAATCCATCCACTCAGTATTATAATCTGTTTTAAAGTGTACAATTGATAATAGATTTCAGGCTGTTAGGTGCTGTATTAAATTGAATGCCAATTTTTATGGAACATACAGTGTAGTGTGGAGCGTCGACATTACAGGATGGGCTATAAGAAGAGTTATCTAATTTTGATCGTTGTGACTCTACACTTAGCTATGAAAGTAAAGGCGCTAATATTGAAATCTCATATATAAATGATGTCAACTTCTAGATCCATTCCCGGTTTGAGTTTACGAATGCCAACTGCACCACGGTGGATAGGAAATTCGGGGAGTGCGACTACATCTACCTGAAGTCGGTGAATCGGACTTATAAATATTTATCCGCGAAATTTAAACTCTATCAACTTCCGGTTAAAGCTCTAGGAGTATGTAAGCCGCAGCATTAGTTCCTCGTAATTATCATTGGGATAATAATTTCAGGTAAATCTTGTGCTAATGAAGAGATTCAACGGATATAAGCCATTCCTGTACAACATTACCATCAATGCGTGTAAATTCTTTGCCAATACCAAGTCCAGCCCCGTGGTGAAATTTTTCTATGAATCGATTACGACCTTCTCTAACATGAACCACTCATGTCCCTACAATGTAAGTGAAGGGTTACCTTCGGAATTTCATCTTTTAAATTGATTCACTTTACTCTCTGCAGCATGACATTATATTGGAGAAGCTTCCTGTTGATTTTATAAACCACCGACTGACAAATGTTTTACCGTTTCCCGAGGGTGATTATCTTTTTCAGGCCCACTGGTTTCGTTCGGGATCTCTTTTTGCTGTGGTCAAAATATATGGCACCCTTTCATGAATATATATTATTTATTTATTATGTGTAATGTGTGTACAAAATAAAAAATGAGCAGGTTAATATTTCGTTTTTAAAGCGATTCCATGGTTATAACTCCTTTCTTTACAATATTACCATTAATGATTTTCAAAATATACGTCACCCTTTCTTTAATGACGAATGGAAAGACAATACTAATGGTTGTTCAAAATTATTGTCGATTTTTTATTGTATAATGTGATGTCATGATGAAAGCTATTGAAATAAATTAGACATCCGTTCAGTTTATTAATCTATTTTAAAGTGTACAATTGATAATGGATTTTAGGTTGTTAGATGATGAATTAAAAGGTAAATAGCTTACAGTCTTGTGTGGAGCGTCGACAACGCAAGATGGACCACAAGAAGAGTTCTGTAATTCTGATCCTTGTGGTTCTACACTTAGTTATGAAAGTAAGGACCCTAATAGTGAAATCTCATATACAAATAATGGCCACTTCTAGAGCCATTCCCGATTTGAGTTTACGAATGCCGACTGCACCACGCTGGATAGGAAATTCGGAGAGTGCGACTACATCTACCTGAAGTCGGTGAATCGGACCTATAAATATTTATCCGCGAAATTTAAACTTTTTCAACTTCCGGTTAAAACTCTAGGAGTATGTAAGCCGCAGCAGTAGTTCCTCGTAATTATCATTGGGATAATAATTTCAGGTAAATCTTGTGCTAATGAAAAGATTCAACGGATATAAGCCTTTCCTGTACAACATTACCATCAATGCGTGTAAATTCTTTGCCAATACCAAGTCCAACCCCGTGGTGAAATTCTTCTATGAATCGGTTATGACCTTCTCTAACATGAACCACTCATGTCCCTACAATGTAAGTGGTGACCTTCGAAATTGTATTATTTAAATTGAACCTCTTAACTCTTTGCAGCATGACATTATAGTGGATAAGCTTCCTGTTGACTTTATCAATTACCGACTAACAAAGGTTCTGCCCTTTCCCGAGGGCGATTATCTCTGTGAGGCCCATTGGTTTCGTTCGGGATCTCGTTTCGCTGTGGTTAGAGTATATGGCACCCTTTCATGAATATATGTATGTATATACATATAGATAAATAAAGATTCATTGAATAATGAATAATGCATACAAATGTTGTGTCACGTGTTGTGATTATGGTTGAAATCCACCCCACCATGTATGAACACTATCCGAATATCCCTTACTAAATGTCGACATAACAAACGTATAAAGAAAGAAACATACGAAATAGAAAGCAGAATGGACAGTCGAACGAATCTAACAAGATAACGAAAATAGGCGTGGGAGCATGTCGAAATTCCGTGTATCACAACAAAAAGAGGCACGAGAACAACGAAATCGACAACTATAAATGTGACGGAGACAAGTGTTCCGGTACGTAATCGACTTTCACAAAAAATATGGCAGACAACGCCAACAAGTACATCCAACTTTTACGTCCGCTACCTTTATTCGTCTCGCATTCCTGTACGGAATTCCGTAATTTAATATTCCGCTCCGGACACCATTGTCATGGGCTCAAATTCAAACATGAGCCAGATTGTATCCACGGATCCAGATTGGAACGTGTTCCTGAAGTGCATTTACACAGAAATAGATCACAATACTGAGGCCATTTCTAATGTATTGCCTGTTTATTGGACAAATGTGTTTCTAAACGATTTCATACCATACAAAAGCATTCAGTAATTTAATCTATTTTAAAGTGTTCGATTGAATTTTCCTTGCGCATTTACATACTAAGTGATTTATTAAGAGTTAATACATGGAATTCTATGGAGCAAACAGTGTTCTTTGGATCGTCGAAAATACAGGATGGCCCATAAGATAAGCTCCCTGATTCTGATCGTTGTGATCTTACATTTTTTTATAGAAGTAAGGATTGCACAGCATGTAAACACAATACAATTCACATATAATTCTTAAATCAACTTCCAGATCCATTCCCGGTTTGAGTTTACAAATGTCAATTGCACTGCGTTGGATGCGAAGTTCGGGAAGTTCGACTATTGCTTTCTGAAATCTGTAAACCGGACTTATAAATACTTTTCGGGAAAATTTAAGGTTTATCAACTTCCCATTAGAGCCATGGAAGTGTGTAGATATGTCAAGATAACCATCAAAATGCTCTTTTAATTATCATTCACTTCATTATTACAGATTAACATGGTATTATCAAAGCGATTGAATGGATACAAGCCCTTTCTTTACAATATGACCTTCAATGCATGCAAATTTATTGCCAATCCCAAATCCAGTCCTGTTGTGAAATTTTTCTATGAATCATTTATGAGTTACTCCAGTGTGAACCACTCATGTCCCTACAATGTAAGTGAACAAAGGTTACTTCAGTGCCGAATAATTAGGGATAACTCCCTTATTTTTCTGCAGCATGACCTCGTTTTGGAGAAGCTTCCTGTGGATTTTATCAATCACCGATTTACGCAAATTCTGCCCTTTCCTGAGGGCCAATATCTATTGGAAGTACGTTGGCTTCGTTCCGGATCTCTTCTTGCTGTGATCAAGTTATATGGTCTGCTTTCTTAAATGTAAGACGTAAATATTTTTCTAAACAAAATTGGTGAAAGGGTATACATATGTGCTAAACTTTTTCTGAGCTTTGATAGACTTTATTTTTTTGTTAAATGTGATTTTTGATTATGTAATATATATCATAAAGCATTTGCTTTTCGGAATGTTAAGCTATTTTTAAAAGGGGCTTTCAATTATTGATGATGCGACATCATATTGGAGTTTTAATAAAGTTTAGTCATTATTGTTTCATCGACGATTCGAGATGGAAGCTAATCTGAATTTTCTGGTTCGGCACATGGTGATCGTTGGATTGACACTGGAATAATGAATCATCCTACATACATACTGATATGAAATATTTGAGATTATTATTTATGAAAAAAAGTTTTATCGTTTTAGGTAACAGATATTATGCCTTTTCGTGTGGGGATTACCTTTTCGAAACCAACTGATTTGCTTATGATATCAACCGATCTGTAGTCAAAGTGAATGGCACTCTTTGAGAGTGACTCAATAAACTTTTCTAAGGAAAATATGCGGCTTATATATTCTTGAAACACGGTTATGGGAAAGTTGTCTACCATTTGAAATGCACACCGGTCAAGGTCTGGTTTTACTCGAATAAGTATCTACTTTTCAATTAATCTAAGTTAAATTTATAATGAGCGTTCTATATAATTTCTGAATCTATATTCTATATTTATCGTGAATTGAGCGAGGGCACAGGTATACGTCGGGGCTCTTTTAGGACCCTTTTCCATGATATTCTTCACTTAACAATTTTTTTATAGCCCTGCTTTTAACCCAAAAGAAAGTTAAACACAAAACTGGCCCCAAACAAGGAGAAAAATGTACGGAAAAAACGAGGTATGGGAAAATTGTATAAATGAAAACTAAATATTTATTTTGGGTCCGTCAGTGAACGGCTGGGGAAAACAAAGGATATTCGGGGAAAAAGGTTCCCATGTGCGTTATCTATGAGCGTTGAGTGCCTTAATAAGTAAGTCAATAAATCAATTCAATAAAAATTTGTGCTGCCTTTTTCTATCTATATTTGAAGTTTTGGCTTTGTTTTTTGTGACCTCCTTCTGTTGTTGGCAATCCCAAGCAAACAAATGTGAGGAAAGCAATCCAACAAAAAAGTTTGGATCGCAAAATGTTTGGCAACGAGAAAACAAAGAGTAAAGAGTGGGCGGGTTTCGGAGGTTAAAAGAGGGTCCAGAGGGCTGATGACTAGGGCCAAAAAAGATACATAAACAATGATAACTGCAAAGTTTATCAATTTGTAAAATGGCAGCCGCAGACATGAACAATAGGGTAAAAAGAAAAACGAGTAACATTGGTACGATAGTTACCAGTCCCAACTAGAAGATATCTACTATTCGAGAAATCATTCAAAAATAAGTCAAAAAGGTATGGCAGTACTTCTATGGAGTACCTCATTGATCTTTCTGAAAATATTATAATATGTAGGTGCTACGATCATCCGATTATGACCAGTGTTGGTGGATTTTTTAGTTCCCACCACAAAGAATGTGGATGTCACAGGATGTCCCTGGAGCTGTGGGATCTTTATCGTCATACCCATATACCCATTTACTCTACAAGTGCAGGGTATGCCGAACGCAAAGCTGTTTAGCGGTGGCTGTACCTGCTGAGCTTTTCGAGCCTAAGCTTTCACTATATCTGGTGGATAAGATAATGAAGGCATATTTATGGGTATCGTAGGAAATAAAATTTATTAAATTTACTTAATGATAGGAAAACTCTAAAAGAACGGAAGTGCCTGATAATAAATTTAATTTCTTATTTTGTTATAGCCAACAAATTGACCATCCCTCAGCCATAGCCCCCATACATAATTCAAATGAATTGTTTAGACAGCGGCCACAAAGAGATAGAGAGGCAGAGATCCAGAAGCCAAAACAACCACACATCGGAAGAGCAAAGAACAAATCTCAAACAATGAATGAAATGTTTTTTTTACGTGTCAATATTATCTTTTTCTTTGGCGTTTTGTTTATAACAACTGAATCAGCGTCCGTCCGAGCGTAAAAAAGCATTGTTTTAAAAATACTCGACCACTACGCGTGCTCTTCAGATGTGTGTTGGGGTAAAAGTAGTTGGCTATTTTCGCACTTTCAAAAATATACATACTGCACAGATAGAAGACTTTGTGACATGCCGACATGACGAAACGAGTGTTCAAAGTGTCAGCGCTGATATGCCAACAACTTGACTCAACCTGACTGGCGAATTATTCAAGCAAATCTCTTCGGGTAGGAGTAGGATGAGGCGGAGGAGGAGGAGGAGGAGGCACACCCCAACACACACGACACTGAAATACATGCAATTAGATTGAATGTGTTTAGTCTAGAGGCACTACTACGAGTATATGGCACTATCAATTCCGAGTGTCTCTCGATTAATCTCCTGCAGATGTCTGGCTATCAAGTCAGATCCGATCCGATCCCTTTCTGCCTCTTAATTGCACTTAAAATACCCGTACTCGTACGATGCCAGCGATATTTTCACCCATAAAACTTAGCACATATCGAGAGGTGCATATGTACATATATATATTGTATATAGCCATCGCTGACTGAAGAATCAGAGCAGAGCGGCAGGACAGGGGTCTGGACTGGGCCGAGCTGTCAGCGCATTTGCCAAAAAGTCGCCACTAGAATGCAAATCGCTCCCACCGCCCCACATCATCGTCTGGTTAGCACCGGAAAGTGCTTCTTTCTAGTCGTGTGACTGGCCTTTGTCTCTCTCTCTCTCTCTCTCTCTCTGTCTGGTCCCTGTGTGGGCGTCGAAGTAAAAAATGTATTCCACTCTCTGCCAAATCGGTTGCTCCGAGTGCTATGACTGCTATGAGTACTCGAATCGATGCGCATTTCGCCAGCTGCGACTGCACTCTGGCATTGGTCGAGATTGATTCCACGACGGGCGACATCCTTCCCAGAACTGAGTGTGCCCGCCACTACCCCACTATATTGCGATTCGGTCCGCCAGTCGGCATACATATCAATTGACCATCACGACAAAAAACATTGACAAAACAAACACACAGACCGCACGGGCATGGCATCGCTATGAATCGGTATGGGTACACACAGATTGTTATTAAAATATTGCCACGCTCCGCATAAAAGATGCATGAAATTGGTTCCCCCACTGGATGGGGAGGGCATGGAGGACTCGGAATACACTAATTACTTTTTATTCAATGTTAATACTGAGGAAGCGAAGCATCCGAAGGGCAAGCGTCGTCAGAAAGTGTCATAATACTTAATTAAAGGGTAAAAGGGCATCGCTGAAAATTCAGTTATTACTCCTTCAGAGATTCAACCATAGACCCAAGGAAGTACTAGTCGAACATTGAAGTATCCCCCCCCTGCAGACCACTGCAGATATACCCGATTGATGGTAGAACGCATATATATTTTTGCACGAGGCGCGCACAAAGTCAAGACTATAATTATAGCGACACCCACCTATTGGCGCCCAATTTCTAGCAAACACTACCCATACACCTATGATTATACACCCATACGCACACACACAATCAATATCACGGACAAGCGGACAACGAAATGCGTCTCACGGTCAAGTTGAAAAGCATTGAGAGCGGATGTGGAAATGGGAATGGGATGGAGATGAGAATGGGAATGAGAACGAGATCGAGATCGTGAATGGGGGAGCAAAGGCAGATGTGTTAATGTTTATGAAGGTCAGTGGAACCGCAGAGGGAGCAACAGTCGAAGAAGGGCAACAGCCCCCTCTCTTTTCCACATCACAGTAATTTCTCTCTCTCTATCATTCTTTCAATTTTTTAACGAGTGCGTGTGTGACATTAACCCAATAAAAATAGTCGGATATACAGCCAGAGCGGAGACCAGAACCCTACGCAACAATTACGAACGATCACGAATGCGCCTGCAAACGATCAGGAATGATCACGAATGATCACGACAGAGAAAGAGACAGAGACAGAGACAGAGAGAGCGAGAGAGGGAAAGAGCGCGTCAAGGGCGTAGCTTGAGAGACATTGAGAGGCTGAGAGAGCGCCTCGATTTCTGCCGATCGTCTTCGGGCTTTCGATCTGTGTCTTTGATTTGGTTTCGCGAAAATTTTCGCTCAGTTTCGAGGAAAATTGCGGCGCGCCAACTTGGGAAATGCGTTGCGTGGTGCCCTAGTCGCAGTCCCGTTCCGATCCGAGCATACACCATACAACACTAAGGCCAGAAAAGCCCCCAAGGATTAGGCTGCAGCAAAGTGTGACCAAAGTGATCTATGTGTGTCGTCGCTCCTCCATCTTCGTTGATTCTTTGATTTTACGATTATTTCTATTTCTATTTATATTTCCATTCTTGTATGGCTATTTCGGTGCGCGTTTGTTTTTGTGGCTAATTAGCACAAAGTGTCGAGCAATTTTCCGTCTCAATTGAGCTCAAGTGCTGCCCTTCTGCCAAGAAAAAAGTGATGAAAACACGAAAAGTTAATACGTAGCTGAATAATTGCCCGATATTTAAATATTAATTGTTCAACATTTATTTCGTGTGCGCGAAATACAAGATACTACTACGAGTTGTCCGTCTCTATAGATGGGATGCCTGCCATTGCCTGGCTAAAAATATAGATATGCATATGAAAGTCCACATCCATACAATATAACAACAAATTTTATTTATTGCCTAAATATATTTGTGTGTTTTTCTTGGGCGAGTGGGTCCGTCGTCTGTTTCCATAAAGCGACGCTGGGCCAACGATTTGCCGTATAATATTCGAAAATTCTTGTGCTAGTAACACTTTTAGCCTCAGCTTCTGCTTACCCCCAACAAAAACTCAACTCGTAAAAATTTATATCAGGCAAAAAAGATTGCAAAAACTGAATCAACAGAACAGCAAAACAGAAAAAGTAGCAGTGAAAACACATAAAGAATTAATAAAAGACTAAAAAACAAAACGGAAAATAAATAAATTCAAATATTCAACAATCATGTCCGCCTCTGCGCGAAGTTCGGTGACGAGAAAATCGTCGCTGAGCAAAAGTTCCACCGCGGAAAAGTCTACAAAGTCCTCGACAAGCTCCTCAAAGACCACCACTACATCGACAGCAGCAGCCCCACCAAATGGAGGAAGCAAACAGAAAATGCAGTACTCAAAAACCAGGGAGCGAATGGTGGATGGTAAATTGTGATAAATATATTAATTGATTTTAATTTCCATTTGTTTGAATTTTATAAATTGGAACTCGGGTAAAAGTCCCCTCGATCATTTCTGATAGATTAATATCTCCCTTGGTGGTACTAAAATACTTATACCGTGGGTGTAGATTCCCAAGACAAAGATGATGTTCTATCATCACCAATTCAAAGTAATTCCATTTTCATATCCTTTATATAGAAACCTTTTCCCCTGAAAATTCTCTCAACTGCTTTTGTAAGGGATAATTATTTATTCCCAAGCCATTTCACTGTATATCTGTATATAAACAGACAAGTCTCAATCATGCATTCGACCCCACACGAATCTCGCTTTAATTATGATATCTATACAGACAGAAGATCATGCTTCAATGGAACTCTGATGTATTGAATGCATTAATTAAAATCAAATTCAGTTTTTTTCTATTTATTTCGAGGCAAAGTGAAATCAATTCTGTAACATTTCACAAAGTACAAAATCATACGGGATTTTTCCTTTTGCATGAAATTTGGAGCAGGAAGAAGAAACTCTTTTATACTTTTTTACTATGTAACGTGATAGTTTAAATGTTTTTTATAAATCTCATTCTCCACATTTCTCGGCAGTTAATTTAATAGTTTGCAAATGATATGCTTCTGTGCTGAATTCATTTCCGGAAAAGGCGGTTCGTCTTTGTTCTCATTTAATGGGAGAAATAAGAATAATTTTAATCATCGTCGAGCACCCATAAGAAACAACAAACAACTGCAACACATTGGCATTTTATTGGCCATTGCGTCAAAATTTCAACATTTTCCCCAAATTATGACAATTAAAAATGGCGCAAGCAATGGTGTGCGTGTGTGTTTGTTTTTGTGTGTGCCAATCAATTTTTCGACTTTTATATTCACTCATTCAAAATTTTGTAATTAGCGTATGAAATACATGTGCCTGCCGATCTCTCCCGATCTGCCGGGCAGCCTGCCTGCATCTGGTGGTACTATTTTTTTTTACCCGATTTCGTTTTTGGCGGGGCTCATAAATCCGGCAAGAGAAAAGCGGCCAAAACCGAAATATTGGCGATAAGTTGCAGCGGCTCGTTAACCCACATCGAGATCAGACAGCTCTGTTCGACCAGACCAGTGCAATGTTTATTACAAAACTATCAAATCAATGCATTTGCATATGCATTTGCCTTCTCGCCGCAGATGTCCCGCTGCCGCCCACACACAAGCTCACCATGTCCGAGGTCTACGACGACGAGAAGACGGGCAAACCCAATTTCGATGTACTGCGCAAGCACTTCCTGCTCGAGGGCCGCGTCGAGGAGTCGGTGGCCCTGCGCATCATCGAAGAGGGCGCCAACCTGCTGCGCGAGGAGAAGAACATGATTGACGTGGAGGCCCCCATCACCGTCTGTGGCGACATTCACGGACAGTTCTTCGATTTGGTCAAACTATTCGAGGTTGGCGGACCCCCAGCCACGACCAGATATCTGTTCCTGGGCGACTACGTGGACAGGGGATACTTCAGCATAGAGGTGCGTCGCGTTATGGCTTCAAAATGAATCTGAAATGTATTCCATATCTTTCAGTGCGTTCTGTATCTGTGGTCCTTGAAGATAACCTACCCCGCCACACTGTCGCTCCTGCGAGGCAACCACGAGTGCCGCCATCTCACGGAATACTTCACCTTCAAGCAGGAATGTAAGCTGAAATTTAACTCTTATTTATAGCGGATATTGTAGTAGCATTGCATCTTCCATTACATCACAAGCATTTTCTACGGATCCGAGGATGTTTTCTTTGGCATTTAATGGGTTTTTAAAAGCTACAACAAGTGCATAAATCTTTCTCTTTTTGTGACTCTGGCATTATTCTATTTGAAGGCATCATCAAGTATTCGGAAAGTATTTACGAGGCCTGCATGGAAGCGTTCGACTGCCTGCCGCTGGCCGCCCTGCTCAACCAGCAGTTTCTGTGCATCCACGGCGGTCTGTCGCCAGAGATTTTCACACTCGACGATATCAAGACGGTAAATGCTCGTAAATTAGAACCTGCTGAAATCTTTACAGCATTTATATCGGTCTGTTGTGTGTTTTTGCAGCTAAATCGATTCAGGGAACCACCGGCCTATGGACCCATGTGCGATCTGCTGTGGTCCGATCCCCTGGAGGACTTTGGCAACGAGAAGACGACCGAGTTCTTCTCGCACAACTCCGTGCGAGGCTGTTCCTACTTCTTCAGCTATATGGCCTGCTGTGAGTTCCTACAGAAGAACAACCTGCTGTCCATAGTGAGAGCACACGAGGCCCAGGATGCGGGGTATGCTCTGGTACCGTATCCTTGCGGCATCTTTCTATATTTATTTTGTACATCCTTATCAAATATAGCTATCGCATGTATCGGAAGAATCAGGTAACTGGCTTCCCCTCACTCATCACCATCTTCTCCGCCCCCAACTATTTGGATGTTTACAACAACAAGGTAAGATCCCTCTCTTCCCCTCCTTCTCCTTCTTCTTCTCCAACTTAAATTGTTTATTCGTTTAGTTGGTTGTTAGTTGGTGTTATTGTTGCTATTTTTAAATAACGAAATCTTTTTTTTGGCTGCATTGCGAGCTGGTGCGAGTTTCATTCGCGCCTCGTTCGTAATATCTTCTCTATTCTCTTCGGTCTCTCGTCTCTGGTCTCTGGTGTCTGGTCTCGTAACGCTCTCATTTTGTCAACCCCAAACGCTCGCATTTGACAAAAGGCAGCTGTGCTCAAGTACGAGAACAACGTGATGAACATTCGGCAGTTCAACTGCTCCCCCCATCCCTACTGGCTGCCCAACTTCATGGATGTCTTCACATGGTCACTGCCCTTCGTGGGCGAGAAGGTGAGTCCAAATTCCATTACACTTTTGGCTTAAAAGCTAACAAAATTTCGCCACTATAAATAGGTAACCGAGATGCTGGTGAATATCCTCAACATCTGTTCGGACGATGAGCTGGTGGCCGGACCCGATGACGAGCTGGAGGAAGGTAAGTGGTGGGCAGGGCTTCTTGCAGGGGATCTAATATACCTAGAGGGTGTCGTAAATGTCGTAGCGCTTTAGTTGTGTTGTGGGCAAGAACAAAAATACTCGTACACTGGAATTACAAACTAATCTTATATTAAAAATATTTTCAAAAACCCAAAACAAAATGCGTCAACTGCAATCTACTACTCGAAACCACCTTCCCTAATACTATGTAAATGTTGTGTGTACACAAAAACAACCAACCAACAACCGACTTTCCACTCAAAAACACCTCAAAACAACAAACAAAACACCTCCTCGACAAAAAAAAGAGCTGCGCAAGAAAATTGTACTGGTGCCGGCGAGCGCGAATAATACCAATAACAATAATCCGCCCAGTAAGCCAGGTAAGCTCCGTGCCAAGCGCAGGCCAATGCCAAAGCCAAAGACAGCAGCACTGCCATTGCCAAGGCCTAAGCCGGGGGTAGAGCACGAGGCACCACCGCCGCCATCGCCGCCGCAGCCGCAGCAGCCGAAAGATAGAAAAGCTTAGTGAGAGCTTTGCACTGCTTTGATCAGCTTTAGCGCGAGCTTTAACGCTGCTTCTGCTCTGCTTCTGCTTCCCATTACATTCCCCACAAGAGCCAGAGAGTTTCAGACTAATTGAGCCCTCAATTCGCAGCTTCCATGTCGGCGCTGCGCAAAGAGATAATTCGGAATAAAATTCGGGCCATTGGCAAGATGTCGCGCGTCTTCTCGATTCTCAGGTGAGCACATACGAGCTCCCTCTTAAATGTGATTTTCCCCAAAGATTTTCCCGCTCCAATAACTTTGCAGAGAGGAATCCGAGAGCGTGATTAAGCTGAAGGGTCTGACGCCCACGGGCGCCTTGCCAGTGGGTGCGTTGTCTGGAGGAAAGGATTCCCTGAAGGAGGGTAAGTGCGGGAGTAATTAGTACCAATCTCTGCGTACCAATCTGAAATGCGAATTAGATTTGCTCAGTATTTCTGCTAATCATCATTGAAGTTCTGTCAGTTATATGGAATTTTAAAGCTTAATTTAAAGCAGCTCTCATCGATAATTACTTTATTCATTTGTCAAATTTCTATAGATCGAAGCAACTTCTGAGATGACCCATATATTTCTTAGTTTATCCATCTGTTTCGATACTTAGAATCTAGGCTACACTCAATCAATTGAAAATCTTTTAAGAAAGAGTGCCATATACTTTGATCACGGCTCTGTTTACGTTGTAGGCATACCAGTGGGTCTCCAAGAGGTAATCGGCCTCAGGAAAAGGCAAAACATCTGTAAGCCTTGTATTGAGAAAGTTGCTGGGAAGCTTTTCCAAAATAATGTCGTGCTGCAACCGAAGAAGAGTTGAATAAAATGAGAGAAAGGGATACAAATTCCACCTATACGTACATCGAAGGGGCATGTATGGTTCATGTTGGAGTGACCATTGAACAGCTCGTAAATATACTTGGCCACAGGATTTCTGTCTGTGTTTCTTAAGAACTTGCAAGCATCGAGAGTGATATTATAAAGGAATGGCTTATAGCCATTTAGTCGCTGGTATAAGGCGGCATTAACCTTAAATATATAGGAAAATAATCTTTAGTCCAGAAATTGGATTGATTGGTTTGATTCTCTGACTACCTTGACTTTGGTAACGGGAGTCTTAAACAATTTCACTTTAATGGAAATGTACTTGTAGCTCCGATTCACCGACTTAATATAGCAATATTCGATATCGTCAAACTCTTTATCTAGAGAAGTGCATTGAATGTTCGTAAACTCAAACTTTGAACACACTTCCATGGCTGTATACAGGATCACAATTAGTTGAACTACAAATCTACTCGTTCCGCACATCTTAAAACGTCAATGAACCAATCAAAACTGATCGTTCCCACTGCGTTTTAAGAGCTGCTAAAAAAGGTCGATAATTGCCAGAATAAAATCCAACGATTATGGCAAATAATTGAGCATTTCATTCCAAATGATGCTCTTAACATTTGTGCCCATCAATAATGGGAGAATGGAAATAAGTAGACTCAATGCTGAATACCCTGGGAAAACGTAGAGTTTATGTATTTTTCCACTAATCAAATGTTTCATTCAAGAAAGGGTGCCATAGACTTTCACCACAGCTCGGTTGATGTCGTAGGCATACCAATGCAGTTCCAACAGATAATCCCCCTCTGGAAAAGGTAGAACTTTTGTAGTCTGGTAATTAACAAACTCGATGGGAAGCTTTTCGACCTGAAGATCGTGCTGGACACAAAGATAAAATTTGAAATTATAAAAGTTTACAGAGCAAAGAAATTCACTCACATCGTAGGGGCATGTATGGTTCATATTGGAGTACTTATTAAAAAAATTATATAAGTATCCGGCGACGGGGTTGGACTCTGTGTTGTTCAGGAATCTGCAGGCATCTATGGTCACATTGTACATGAACGGTCTGTAGCCGCTGAATCGCTTGAACAGGGCTCCATTTACCTGAAATGTCAGCGTGGAACGTGCACGGATCTTATATTCCAGTATTCTGAACATACCTTGATTTTGGTGATGGGAGTTTTAAATAGATTGACCTTCAGGGACATGTACTTGTAGGTACGATTGACCGACCTCAGATGGCAGTATTCGAAATCGGCAAACTTTCTATCCAAAGAGGTGCACTTGAGGTTTGTAAACTCAAATTTTGATGAAATCTTAAAGCAGGTTACAATAGAAGTGAAATCCTTTTGCTATATGGATGTCTAGATACCTCAGCGATGGAGTAGAGTAGCACAAAACCCCAAACGAGAAAGTTTACCCAGTTGTACATCCTAGAATATTGGTGGACTGACGAGAACTGAGCTCTATAAAAGTTGCAATAAAATATTAACGCAAAATATGTTTAAAAATCAATTAACATCATTTTATCTGGTACCTAATGTGGCTTTCAATTAGATATATTTCATGGCTGTAACCATCAGTGGAAACCATCGAAATTGTTAAATAATTAAAAGCCATGAGTGCTCCGATCAATCGCTCAGTGTTCCTAGTTTTCACAAAATGCTTGTTGCTCATTTGGAATGTATTGCTTTTGCTCATAGTTGTGTTGCCAACACAAAAATTTAACAAAAATCGGTCCCAAGAAACCAAAAACAAAATACTTTTCTACAAACCGATGCTCCCAGTCCCATATTTATGTAGCATATTTAGGTCAAAGGGACAGGGATGATTAAAATTTACGTGGCTACTGAATAGACCAAAGAAGTAAGTGGCCACAGGGTTCGCCCGAGGATTTTTCAAGAGCTTACATCTATCCACTGGGGAATTATAAAGGAAAGGCTTGTAGCCACTAAGACGTTGATACAAAGCGTCATTTACCTATGACACATGTCACATTTGATTGTAACACAACCAATAGGTGTGCCCCTATGGGCTATAGATAGCTGTCTCGTAATCCATACATATTTATATTGATTATTACGACTTTTATTGTTATTTATCTATTAAACTTTTATTTGCACTTTCTGTACAGCTCTCCAAGGACTGACCGCAGCTTCACACATCCACTCGTTCGCCGAGGCCAAGGGCCTGGATGCGGTCAATGAACGGATGCCGCCACGTCGGCCGCTGGTGATGAGTGCCAGCAGCAGCAGCATCACGACAGTCAGCACTACCAGTACCAGCAACAACAACACTAATAATAACAATAATAACAACAATACAACGACAAAGAACAGCAACAGCAGCAGCAGCAGTAATGCCACCACAACCGTGACCAAGACGAGCAGCAGCAGCAGCAGCAGGAGCACCGTGAAGTCGGCCACAACCAGCAATGTTCGGGCCGGGTTTACCTCCAAGAAGTTCTCATAGTGCCCATAGAGAGGAGAGGTTCCTGCTTAAATTTATCTGTTATCTAGATCTACTTTTGTTAGCCACCACTTTTATACCAGAATTCTAGTCATCTGAGGCCCTCAAACGAGACGAATCTCTCCTACCATAATCCTGTAACTGAAATATTAGCAAAAATTTATACGTGACATGAAAAATAGTTCAATAAAAATGGCAGCAAATAGCTCAACAAAATTATCGTTTGTTTGCCACACAGAACGTGTGCCTTCCGAGAGGGGCACTGCAGCTGTGCCTGTCATTAGTCCCACAGACCCACTGCCCCACTCGCTCTACTCAGGCGTAACAGACCATCACGAGGCCCAAGAGACAGGGGGCGGAGAACATTGTAATAATAATCAACCAAATGCAAACAGTAGTAGAACAGGTCCAAAAGCGAATCATTCACCGCCGAGCGTCACTTGGCGTGGAAGATTCCCCCCGTCTTTTATTTCGATTTCTCGGGCTGGCAACGTGCGCAAGCAGACAGCGGCAGAAATTCATACGGATAGAGATAAACATGGATAGATTAGAGGTTAGATAAAGATTTACAATGGGATGAGGTGATTATGAGAGCAGTTCGGGATGAACAAATGTCAATGGAAGCTGGAACAGGCCTCAATTCGTATCGAAATGTGGGGGCATTCCCCAGGGAACCAGGTATCTGTGGGATCTATGGTATCTGGTGTAAGATTTTGTATTTCGATCCTACTGATCTCTGTCGCTCGGCAATTCCAGTGATCTCAGACAGATCTACAACACGTTTAACTAGAGCAGCACCCACAAATCAATGACAATAGGCTGGCCCCAGCTCTAGATTAGACCCATTGTGTTCCCCGGTAGATCATGTAATACGGACAGAGGAAGGGGGAAAGATCACGTCAAGTGGGTGATAAACAAGTGGCATTGAGAGGTCGCTCGGAGATGCAAAACGCTAGATAAACTCTTTCGAATGTTTGCCCCAAAAAGCAGTCACAAATGCAAACAACACGCATACGCAATGTGTTCCGATGATACGAGATACCGAGGGTATTAAAGGAAAAAAATAGCCGTCTCTTTTATCACTTCTGATTAAGACAAACAACGGCATCAGAACCATCACAGAAATTATCTGCAGCCCACGACCACAAGAGATAGCGGCCAAAACAGCCGGAACAGCCGCACGATCCACGGCAGTCGCTTCACGTGCAGCATCTACTGTAAATCAGCGCATTGACACATGAATCTCACGGGGGAAATGGCGAAAGAAATCTCCAAGCCCCAAGCAAACATCGCGATCGTTTAAACGTCTATAAAAGCTTATGGTGGGGGCCCTGGGCCCTGGGCTTTGCTTTGCACGTTTTTATGGATTTATCGTCTCGTGGAGCTGTAATTTTAATAGAACCAAACGGGAACCCGAATGGGGGTTGCTTCGTGTCTGGGCTGCTCGGCTGGTCGTTTGCCATATAACGGCGATGGGGGCTTGTTGCGGTGTTAGTCGCTAATTGGAGATCCACACGAGACGCGGGCTTTGGGCCACAGAAAACCACTGTTTCGCGCATTTCACATCCACTCCGATGGCCTGTTGAACGAATCTGCGCCTCAAGCTGAGCTGTGATATAAATAGGAATCGGAACAAAAGCCTCTACACCCTCTACAACAAGACCATCTAAATTGCCCGAATAGTATTTCAATCTTGTGCGTCTTGTGCAAATCCAGAATGCATTGCCTCCAGTTCGTTGCTTTTGTCGTGTGGTGCGGTGGCCTTATCCCAGGAAGCTGGACGGCCACCCTCCAGCCACCGCCCCTGATCCAGACCCTCAGCGCCGGCAGTGACATTGGGCCAGAGTTCAACTTGGACGCCCAGCAGCAGCCACCGCTGGAGAAACTGGAGCCGGAAGGTAAGTCCCCTATTGCGACGTTCTCTTTTCAATTTGTGACATTCCCTAACTGCCGGCACGTGCAGAACGCGCACTGAAGAAGCCAGCCCTCAGCCGCAAGCTTAAAGTACTTAAAGTACGTGAAATAATTCCCATTAGTTGAACTTGAACCGTTCACCCGTTCCCCCAGTTCTCTTATGCAACAAGCACTTTAAACATTGCTTTTATTCTAGGACCAATTGAAGGTTTGGCAAACTGCTGCAAAATCTTCATTCAATAACCGCAAAAACCATAAAAACGCTTAGTAATTATCCATAAAGAAAAAAGTGTTTCTGTTTAAAATTGCTTTATAATGTAACAATATAATCAGGTGGAGCAACGAGCATTACTAATTCTTTTAGAACAGCTTTAAGCTTTTCTATTATTATTTTTTAACAATGTGCTGGCAGCCAAGCCCCAGCTAGCAACAGACCTATAATCCTATAAGCTGTATGCTCAATTTTCCGTATAAACCCCATCATAAGCAGAGCTAAAGAGATCAAACGATAGAATTAATTTATAGTTTCTTCCAAAAAAACATCATGAACTTTTAATTTCATTGTCAGTCCCAATTGGCAGTCAAGTAATGAAGCTTAACTGTAACCTGCCTCAAAGTCGAGGTCATAATTACTACCTCAATTGAATATTAATTATCGCAAACCGACGATAGTCATGATCCGGACTGAATCAGCTAATGGGCAATCCAAAAAGTGCAAAGGAAATGCAAATGATTTACGAGTATCGGAAAGTGATTTGGATTCGTATTCAATGCGCACACAAAAAACTCTTTTCCCCCTTTTCTTTCTGCAATGCAAGGGAATTGAATCATCAAAAATAGTGGGGGGACTCTTGAGTTGTTTTTTGGCAACTTATGGAGTAGGTTGCTCTCAAGAAGGGTCTATGGAATGCGTTTTACGCTGATTGGGGCTTCGATATTCCTCCACAATTCTTGATTTTGTAAAGATCATACTCCCTCGATAAGCATTATTGATAGTATGATACTTAGAAAATAATCTACTTTATAGTTTATCTGCGGCATACAATAGAATAAATACCAATATTTACAGACTGACAGTCCAGCAATATGTCTAGACGGGGATGTACTAAACATAGCATTCAAGTAGAAAAATCCACATTCTGTAGTATAGATACTATGGAGAATATAATTTAAGACCCTAAACATGTCATATAGTAAATTAAAACAGAGTCGAAACAAATAGAAATGACATTAGGGATATCCCAGTAACTAATTCCGAGATATATGTACAATGTGCATTTAGTAGGATGAGAGTGCATAAATTATAATATAAATAGCGGGGGATCCACAACTGACTTGTAGATGCATTTCAGACACTAAAATAAATCTAGATAATTAGTCGTACGCGAATATACTAGTGCAGAAAGTCCCACTAGACGCGAGCAATTAAGAGGCGACGTCTACGCCACTACGTGACTGGGTCGGGACCTATCCTATCCAACGAATTGCCACTACAATTCCCGCTTACAGATGCTGAATTCTGGCGCAGTGTGGGCTTGAAGCAGCTGGAGAAGACCATCGAGCAGGCCAAGCGGGCCGAGGAGCACTCGTACGCGAAGAAGGCCCGGAACATCATAATCTTCATTGGCGATGGCATGGGCGTGTCGACGATCAGTGCGGGACGCATCTACAAGGGCCAGTACCTGAAGCACGGCCATGGCGAGGAGGAGACGCTCTCCTTTGACAACTTTCCCAACACTGGAATGGCCAAGGTATGAAGTTACAGAATGATTTCGAACACCATACACCACACAGCATACTCATCTCATTTCGTTTCTCCGACAGACATACAACGTGGACAAACAGGTACCGGACTCGGCAGGCACGGCCACGGCACTGTTTACCGGAATCAAGACGCACTACGGAGCCATTGGCGTGGATGCCACTCGCTCCAAGGTGGATGCCAAGCTGGGCCGGATTGAGACTATCATGGAGTGGGCCCAGAAGGAAGGCAAGCGCACGGGAATCGTGACCACAACGAGGATTACGCATGCCACGCCTGCGGCCACCTACGCCCACATCTACGATCGCGACTGGGAGTGCGAGACGGAGGTACCGGCCGAATCGGTGGGCATCCATGTGGACATTGCCCGCCAGCTGGTGGAGAATGCCCCAGGCAACAGATTCAATGTAATCCTGGGCGGTGGCATGTCGCCCATGGGCATCCTGAACGCCACCGAGGTGAAGCGGACCAAATTCGAGGGCCCCACCGAAACGATCTGCAGTCGAAGGGATCAGCGCAACCTTCCAGCCGAGTGGTTGGCGCACCATTCCATGGACAAAGTGCCAGCAGCACTGGTACACAATCGGGACGATCTGTTGGCTGTGGATGCGAAGAACGTGGATCACCTGATGGGCCTGTTTAGGAACAATCACATCACCTACTCGATTGCCCGGGAGGTGGGCGAACCGTCGCTGCAGGAGATGACGGAGACGGCTCTACGGGTTCTGGAACGAGGCGACGATTCACCTGGATTTGTGCTCCTCGTCGAGGGCGGGCGCATCGATCAGGGCCACCACATGAACTACGCTCGGGCGGCTCTGCACGAGGTGTACGAGTTCGATCTGGCCATCCAGGCGGCTCTCAACATGACCGATTCCGACGAGACGCTCATCGTGGTCACGGCGGACCACTCGCATGCCGTCACCTTCAACGGCTATGCGCTGCGCGGCAACGACATCCTGGGCGCATCGAACCTACACGAGAAGGCCGATCCCATGGTCTACGAGACCATCTCCTATGCCAACGGGCCCGGCTACTACGATCATTTGGCCAACGAATCGCGGCCCGCGAACAGCTCCAACATGTGGATGCCCCTCAAGCTCTACACCGAGGAGGAGCGCCAGGCCCCCACCTACCGCCACCTGGCGTCCGTGCCGCGCAAGGACGAAACTCACGGCGGCGAGGATGTGGCCGTGTTCGCCTCTGGGCCCGGCTCCAGCCTGGTTCGCGGCGTCTTCGAACAGAACTATGTGGCGTACGTGATGAGCTATGCCGGCTGCATTGGTCCGGCCAAGGACTTTGACGACTCCTGTGAGGATCGCGAAGAAAACAAGCCGATCAACAGCAGCAGCAGCGGCAGCGCTGACAACGTTTTGCGAGCGGCCATTCTTCCAATTTTGGCTGCCGCCTCAGCTGCTTTCCTGCGGGGACGCCAACTGTAAATGTATTGTAGTTTATGGATTAGTTTTTATGGATTGTGTAGTTAACAGTAGTACAAGCGGAAGGAGACGATGCGGACGTGTCTGAAACGACCACATATTAAACACTTAAACATAAACAATTGCGTTTTAATATGTAATGAAAACACTGATAACGCCCAAGCGGCAGTTTTGAATTCGATATACATACTATCGATATTTCTATCGACGATAGCTGCCGTCGCTCATAGTTAAATTACTTTACTTATTTATTTCTTCACAAAATACACTTTCTCGCCCAAGTCTTTGCAGTTTACAGAAGTCTCGCAAGGCCGCCAACAAATAATCAACTCAACATACGAATTTGAACCGTCTTTCTATCCCGCTTTGGCAGCTGGCGCCTTGGCCGCCTCCGGCTCATCGTCCAACTTCTTGATACGATGCAGGTCGACGCACTGCCGGAACTGGGCCACCTCGTCCATGCACTGTAGCGTCTCGCCGGGATGGGCGCGGTAGCAGGCCAGCAGCTGCGCCTTCAAGTCCTGGCAGGGCGGCAGCTTTTGCGCGGCGGCAGTGCTGACGAATCGCTTGTGCACGTTCTCCACGGCATTGGCGTACTCCGACTCGAGGATGGTGTTGGTCTTCTTCAGGTTCTCCTCCAGATTGATGAGGCGCTGGCGCCAGATCTCGTCGTTCTGTTTCAGCTCCTGGTTCATCTGGCGCTGCACATCCGCGGCGCTGATGGTTTGTCCACCGCCCTGCACGTAAATGGAGGAGGGAGCCCTAACCGCGGACGCGGGCGCTGGCAGGACTGCTGCGGGCACGGAGGGGGCTTTGGCTGCCGGTTTGGACTCCTCCGCAACGGCTGCTTGCTGGCGAGCTGTAGGAATATTGCAAATTAGTGGAAAATCATGTTTTAGTTAAAGAAACCCCTATTTCGAGCATTGTTGCATAACACTCGGGGAACGCAATTGTAAACCCGTTGGGGAAATCTTTAGAGCCTAGTACTTTACCCTGCTGTGAGATGCCGGCCTTGAGGCGCTTGACCACATCATCGGATATGTCGATGACGCCCGCAGGAGTCGGGTTCTCCATTGAGACCGAACGTGGTTCGCGCGACTGTGATTGCCTGGCTCCCATCGTGAGGATGTCTGTTCTGGCGGTTTCTCGTCTTCAACGGATCAAACCCTGCAAGGACTATAGATTAGTAGTCAGAACAGTGTGTATTTGACGCCGGGTTAACAACCAAATTGCCTATTTAAACTGTTTTTAATCTTTTTCGTCGAAAAATATGCGGTGCCCAGTGTGTTATCGGATTATCGGATTTATCGATAAAATATACCGTCCGACCCTCAGAAATATACCGAGACATACGGCCTCATTTTCAAAATATACCGTAAATATACTGACGAATTCATTTCTATTTTACATATTCCTCGTTTTTGATATTCCGTCGAATATTACTAGCTATATAGAACTTTTAGCCATGCCCACATAATTTTAGCCCATTGATGAATAAATTTTCTACACAATTGGATAGTTTTTAATCCTTGCTTTTATTGTATTTATTGTAAAAAAAGGTTTAAACCAAAAAGTTCAACAAAAAAAAGAGTCGCTATATTGCGTGTAAGCCGTCGTATAGGCCTTTGTATACCCTATTTTGTTAATTTGGTATGAAAGTATATATATTGATATGAAGATAAAACGTAACTAATAAAGACCTTTTCTCAAATTGACATTTTTTAGACATATTCACGTATATGATGAGTGTTTTGTATATTTATCTCGATCCTGATACCTATTCTTAGTCCCTGCAAGAAGACAATAAGCTTTAAAATATCGTTGAAATATTGAAAATAATATTAAATAATATTGAATAATATTAAAATATATTGAAAATAAATTGTTTTTGCCTGGGATGACAAACATATTCACAATTCTATAACATCCATTTCCCCCAGGGTATGTGTGCATGGAGTGAGAGTCATTGCTGTCAATCGGGTAAAAGATGTCCTTACCCGATTCCAGTTCGGTTATCGATACTATCGACTGATTACGAGTGGTGCGCGCCAAATGTAACTTTTTTGAATGAGAGCGACAAGGATTTAAATGCTGTCAACCGGGCCATTACCGATTCAACAAATACGACTATTCCCTCAATTTTGATTTTCCGTCGAATATCAGCTATATGGAAGATTTAGCCATGCCAACATAATTTTTTTATGTGTTTTTAATAAACTAAAGAACCTCATCATTTTTTAAGAGGACAAATTCACTATCGATTCCCTGCGGACTTTTGATTGCATTTGCATGTGCAGTGCACGGTTTCGATATTTTTGTGCGATATTTAAACGCGCCAGCGTAAAGAAGATTCAAAATAAATGAAATCAAATATTTTTTTATTTTTTGTTGAAAATCGTACGATTTTATTTATGTTTTAGCTTGGTTTTGTCGTTCGTTTGTGGATTTCTTTCAAATACATACACTTAAATGGCATTTAATGGTGTGACTGGTATCTCATATGATTTGCAATTGCATTTCCATTGATTTTCATTGCCTTACTTATTGTTTATTTTACGATTACCCTTCAGTTAATAATTATTTATGGTTTATGGTTTAGTCTGGAGTGCTGCCGCATCGCAAGTGGTGTTTCTGCTTTAAAATTTCATTGCCCTATCACTTGTGCGTGTTGTTACCGATTAAAAATCGCAATCGAATCATTGCTGTCGATAAACTGTCTCTTTTTTTTGTAGGTTAAGCTTTAGTTTAATTAATGCTGTGACTGGATTTGCTGCTTTTATTCTGCTCAGATATACATAATCATGGTTTTTTGTTAGTTTATAATTTGAAATACTTGCTAATTACATAAATGTGGCGTGCACTTGTCCATAAATCTATCCCGATAAATCGATTCCCATATTAACGTATCCGTTTATTAAGTTTTCATGTGTTTCTGTGGTTATTTTTGTATTTCATATCACTGTTGGTGGTTTGTTAATGTTCATTTACTCGCTTTCTTTGTGTTCGACTCGATATCGATTTAAGTTTAATTATTTATTAGTTCAAAAGTACTATTCTCAATTCAATATACACATACATTTAATTATACAAAATCCTGAAAATTACTTTTATTTTTTTGGATATTCTGTAATTTCTCATCAATTTGTTAGTTTCGCTATGGACTCTCTTCGTACACGATCTTCGATATTCGCTTCTTTAGTTTTTCATAATTATTATGAATCAGTTTTGCTTTCATTTCAGTTTTGGATCCTCGTCTTATCATCCCCCGATAAAATGCTAATTGTTTAGTATTCTTTTGTATGCTAGGAGGAAAATCACACATAAGTAGGTATATAATTATTTATAAGGATATTTATGGATATTTCATATGTACACTGAATAACTATTCGTTTCGGGTTGCATACCAACTGGAGAATCTATCTAGGGGGTTTCTCTCGTGTATAATAGTTGGTCGAGTTGTTGGATTAATCATGAGGGGGGAGCTGGGACTGTAACTGGGGCAGAGCGGAGTACCAAAATCGAACGAAAAACCGAAAATATAAAAAACAATTTATAAGAAATATCACGTAATGCATTTTTATTTAAGTTTCTTGCGGTCTGATATATCTGTTTTCTGTATATGTTTTGCTTTTCGGTTCGTGTGTCCTTTGTGGTGTGTTCTTCATATTTTTTAGAGGCTGACGTCCATCGTCCGTGGAGTTTTACATTGTATTTTACGTGTTCTCATAAGATATATTTCGTATAATTATCATATATTTATATATATATATATATATATTATATAGTATATATAATTGTTACCCCTTTTCTCTTGGCGCATTTAGAAATTAAGAATTAATTTTTTTTGCATTTTTTGTTTTATTTTTTACGGTTTGGTATTACTTATAGACAAATTTCATATTATAGCTATAATTTATTAGCTAGCGTTATGTAATTTTAGTGCCCGTCGACGACTGACGGGTTCTTCTACTCGAAATGTTAATGCAAATGTTTTTGTTTGTTGTTTTGTTTTCTCTATTGCTATTTTTAGCTTGTTTTTCATATGTTCTCTATGTTAGTTACATCCCTTGGGGTCGATCCTCTTGATGGAAGGATCCCTTCTTCTACTCGAGAAATGCGCGCAGTTGAACAGTTTTCAATGGAGAAATATATGAACACATCCAGCGAAAGCGCAGACCATAAAAGTAATTAGCATATATATATATATATATATATATATATATGGTTGCAGCAGATATATGGTAACATATTGGGGGGTGCGGGGTGTGGGTCATTACAAATCAGATTTATGCTTAAAGCTAAAGAACCCTCTCATCGATGATATCGTAATGACAGTGCCCCGACAAAATTATCTGTAACTGGGGGGATCGCTTAACCTAGGATTGGTTGGGGTTTGGGGTTGGGGTTGCATCGGGTTTCGCTATCGCTAGATCTCTAGACTAAGGTTAGGGACACCCCGACGAGTGGAGTGTCCTTTGTTTCTTTTACACAAATATTACACTTACATTCAAATTTTGTTTCAATGATAGGGCTTCCACACTACTGCTTTCTATATATTCTTCATTGAATATAAATCAGCGTTTGCTTGTTGGTTTGTTCAGTGATCAACGTTCAGTGGGGGGCGGGGGCTGAGTGGAAACAAACAAAAAAAATTAACAAACAAAAAAATTCAGCAAAGAGGAAGATTTGGGCACAAATGCACTCTTTCAAGCGTGTGTGGCTTAGTGTCGTGTCGTGTTCTTGTGTTGCACAGTGTAAACGTACAGTACTGTAGTTAAATGCTAGCTCTTTGCTCCTCCTCCTCTCTCTCTCTCTTTCTCTCTATCTCTCCCGCCGCTCACCCCTTTCCCATGATCTACTGATCTTCTTGAGTGTGTGTGTGTGTATGTGGAAGATGTTGCTATCCGTTTCTATCCGTCTTGCAGCCATTTGGCGCATTCGTTTTATCAACTAAAATTATAATTTAAATTAATAGTAGTCTAGGTAATTAATTAATAAGCTTTGCCACGCCCTATCTCGATCCTCCGGGAGCGGAAGTCCGTCCATGTCAAAGCCGCAACAAAACGAAAATGTACAAATCAAGAAAAGCGCTCGCTCCGCTCCGCTCTGCTCCTCTCCTCTTCGCTCATCTTCTCTCATCTTCTCTCATCTTCTCTTCGCTCATCTTCTCTCATCATCTCTTCGCTCATCTTCTCTCATATCATCTCATCTCCACTCCAATGCTATCTCCTTATTTTCCTCTTCCTCTCTCGATGTGTGTATGTGTGTCTGTGGGGGCAGGGACCAGGTCATCCTGCATTATACGGCATATATAAAGCATGTGTGTGGGTGTGTTGGTGTATATATATATTGGTCATATATATATAACTATGTATTCTACACGTATAGTTGCTGAGTTTTTTGTCTACTGTGTCCAGCGCTGCTGCATCTAGACCATAAAATATTATTTAGCGTTCCGCACGTCGCCCACCACACCGCCGCTCTGGATGCTGCCGACACCGCCTCCACCGCCGCCGCCACCCTGGCGCATCCGTATCGAGGGACGGCGCTCCGGTGTGTCGTAGGGCGGTCTCGATGAATTGGTGGCCGCCATCGAGTCGTCCATGTTGAGGCCTCCGTTGCCGCCAATAAGCTGGCTGCCTCCATTCCCGCCGCCGCCCAACATCGCTAGGGTCTGGCCGCCCTGGGAGCTGGTGCCGAGGAGCTGCTGCGTGCTGCCGCCCGCTGTGGCCAGCGCCGTGTTCACCTTGTGCTGCTGTTGGTGCGAGGAGGCGGCGGCGGCCGCCGCCACAGCTGCCGCGACGACTGCATCGTGGCCCACCTGCCCGTCGGTGCCATCCTGGACCTGCTGGATCGCCTGGGGATTGCGCGGGCCCCCGAACTTGAGCAGATTCCAGTCGAACACATAATCGTAGGTGAAGCCCAGCCGGTGGAACAGGTTGCGGAAGAGCTTGCGCAAGTGGCAGTAGTCGGGGCGCTGGTCGAAGTGCATCTGCCGGCAGAAGTTCAAGTAGTTGACGAACTCGCTCGGGAAGCCCTTGCAGAGCACCACTATCGAGGTGGAGAGCTTCTTCTCCGAGATGCGCTCGTACTTCTGGCGCTTGTTGGCCGCCTTAAGGCCCTGCCAGGGCAAGGCGCCCAGGTTGAAGTACATGAGGACGTAGCCCAGGGATTCAAGATCGTCGCGGCGCGACTGCTCGATTCCCAGGTGTGTGTTGATCGATGCGTAGCGGGCCGTGCCCGTCAGGTTCTTGTTTTCCCGATAGGGGATGTGCTTCAGGGAGCGGGCGTCGCGGAACTTCTTGGCCAGGCCAAAGTCGATAATGTATACTAGGTTGCCCTTCTTGCCGAGGCCCATGAGGAAATTGTCCGGCTTGATGTCGCGGTGGATGAAGTCGCGCGAGTGGATATAGTCGATGCGCGATATCATCTGATCCGCCAGCAGCAGCACCGTCTTCAGCGAGAAGCGGCGCGAGCAAAAGTTGAACAGATCCTCCAGCGAGGGGCCCAGCAGCTCCATCACCATGACATTGTAGTCACCTTCGCTGCCGCACCAGATGATCCGCGGTATGCCGATCCCGCCCTGCATTGTCTTGTAGAACTTCGATTCGATGTGCAGTTGGGGATGCTTTGTGCGGATGCACTCCAGCTTGATGGCCACCTCCTCGCCAGTGTTGATTGTGGTTCCCAGGTAAATGTCTCCGAAGGATCCCGATCCGATCTTCCTGCCCAAACGGTACTTGTTGCCCACGCGCAGCTCCATTTTGTCTGTGCTTCTGTGTGTGTGTTTGAAAGAGTGCTTAACCTCTACGTGAGAGAGAGAGACAGTGTTGTGTGTGGATATGCGGTGCCTTGCCTGCTGCTGGAGGGTAGGAGAAGTCAAAAGTTAGTTTTATCCACCTTTTCGGGCCATCACTCTGCTCCTTTTTCACAAACCTTGCGCTGTCCTCTCGTCAGAGCTCCTCTCCTCGGCTTTTTGGCCTTCTTGTTATAACTTTCTAGGCAGTCGCTTCAGCTTCAGGGCTTTATTGTTGCTAAAATAAAAAAGAGACGACATTTTGTGAGTATGAGTATCGGTTTGCAGTACCTCCAGTCCCCATGCTCTATTCCACACGCTCTTTGTCAATGCCGTTATAGCGGTAAATGAGCGACGCGACGTGACAGCCACAGGGCCAGCAACGAGCACTGACTCTCCAAAAAACGTACGAGTATGTCTCCAAAAACAAAGTGCAGCGTCAGTTCTTTTCAATTTTGTCTCTGATAAGAATTATTGCTCACAGAGTCCCACCAGCTGTGGAACCGGGTGGGGTGGGGTGGTGTGGGGTGCCACTGCTGGAATCGAAGTGAAATGAGACAATACAAAAGGCAGATAACACAATGCGAAGTGGGAAGAAGCTGCCGATGTGACAGTTAGATAAGAGCGCGCGGAAAGAGCGCCTAAGCTCCGCTCACGTCGACAAGCACACAAAAGTGGGAAAGGGAGAGAGAGAGCGCGCGAGCGCGAGAGCGAACACAACGCAAAGGCAACTCAACTACAGTTTCGCATATGTTAAAGCCAGATGCAAGGTGCAATAGTGTGGGGTGAACCATTTTGTGTTTGTAAATGGGGGAAAAACTTTTCAAAATCATAAATTGTGTTCCTTTTTGTACAGTTGATCTCCAAACAGGAAAAGTACCTCAGTCCAGCAATGTCTCACCTCATATTAATACACTTTTGCAGGCTGCCACCCAATCTACGAATATGCAAAACAAAGTGCGAGATAAGGTCAGTCGCGAACCCGAACCTAGCACAAAAATAGAGTTTATTTTTCCGAAATGTGCGTCATGGACTCCTGATTGTATGTATGATTATTGTTACACGATGTGTCTAGCACCGATGTAATAGATTTCCTCGAAACGGACATGCATGTGTGGCTTTGACGCTTCTTGGGGCGAGGGGAAAACGACAATGCGATTCAAAGGGTTTGTAGGAAACACTAACTCACTGACGCAGTTGGACAGTGTATTTCCCCGCTTTAAAGACAGCCCATCATTCCAGTCCATGAATAAGCTAGAAGCATGCAAGAAAAAAGGAAATATGGCGGCTAGTTCTCGGGCCGAAGCTTTTGATACCCTTTCGTACCGATCTTTAATTGGCGGTGCAGCAAAAAATAGGGCTTTTTGTTCATAAAAACGACCAATCATGGGTATATACAGAACACATTGAATATGCTCTATGGGGACGGATATGCTTCTTTCGTTAGCATCATTATACTCTCGGCAAGGGTATACAAGAGTATAACAAAGCCAACCGACAAAAAAAAACACAAAAAACAAAGATACATAGATAAAAGATTTGTACGTCTGTATGAGAAGAGAGTGGTAGGAGACAGAAAACCAAGTGACAAAGGGGAGAAGAAGAAATCAAATAGAGGCTGTTAAAAAGTGCCTTTTAGATGACACTTTCCGAAGGTGAAAAAACAAACACAAAAACAAAAACAAACAGACATGAAATGAAGTTGCGGAAGAGTAAGCACAGAAAGAAACAGACGAGTTTTCACCGGAATATGCATAGTAAGTGACAAAAATTAAATTTAATTGTTGTTTTTTCTAGATGTGCTTTTTGGGCGCCATTATGATTGCACTCTTACACACACACACACATGTACGTGCCTTTTCTCGCACCTCTCTTTGCAGTCGCTTTCTTTGACCACTCACGCATCGCACTCTCTCTCCCGCTCTGACCTACGCCGCAGAGTTGGGGGGCCGCCGCCACCAGTCAATTCTAACCTCAAAAACTGGTCTATGCACAGGTATGCTGTTGTTGTTTTCGTTGGCTTTCTTTTAGCTTTTTTCTTTGATTTATTTAACACTTTTCTGGCTGCGTGTCCCTCTCTCTCTCTATCTCTCACCCTCCCACTCACACAGTTGGCTTCTCGTTTACCGAAAGTACCGTTTGACAGTGCGTTTAATACGAGTTCTATTTTCTGAGCCCGACAGCCAGGCGAGTAAGCGAGATAGCCGCAATGTCTATGCACGGGTAGGTGTTTGTGTTTTCTGTCTGCATGGGTGGAGGCGGGAGCGAGTGTAAGTTTGCGTGACATAGACCCGAACAACAGGAAAAAACAGCTGATCGAATGTTTTATTTTTGGAATGTGCAATATGGAAGAGAATTTTCTTTCTCGATATGTTTTCCACAAACGGCTTAGACAAACAAATACGGTTTGCTTGGCCCGCTCGTATTTCGGATATTTTTAGAGAGTTCTTCAGAGAACAGTAAAAGGGCCATCAACAATCCCTCTGTAAAGTTTGTACAGGGTAACAATTGGTCGTATGCTCTCTTTGGCAAAAACAGCTGCACGTTGCGTTGGCGGGTGCCGAAAAAGCTTCCGCCTGCACACCAACACAGTACCCCAAGAACAAAGAGGAATCAGAGAGGCAAAAGCAGAGCCGCAGGCAGGGGGAACAGAACAGTTGTTTAAACAGAAAGACAGCGGGGCGCCATAAAAAACGCAAAAACAATTGCAATGCATTGCTTACAAAAACATTTTTCTATGTTTTTTTTAGTAATTCATTTTATGAGTCGCTGACGTCGGCGTCGCAGTCAATGGCCTCGCGGCCGATGGTGAAGCTCGAGGACGAGCCGCACAACTAACGGCAAAACAAATGCACTGACACAAAACGAAACGACTATGATAAGGAGGGAGAGAAGTGTGGCAGGGGCTATTGGCGCCTACCTTGGCTATCCCGTTCGTCCCGCTGCTACTTGCACTTGCACTTCCACTGCTGCTGCTGCGTCGCTGCTGCTGCCTCCTCTGCTGGCGTTAGTGTGTGCTGCACTCTCTGCTTCTTCTTCTCTTTCTTCCTTACTTTCGCTCAATTCGACTGAAAACATAGAATTTTTTTCAAATCGTTTAATTGGATTGATTCACAGTTTTCTTTGTTTTTTTTTTCACAAGACTTGTTTTTGGACTGGCGCCCCGCGCTTCACCTCATCCGCAGAGGCACACTCATGCACAGGCACACAAACACACTCACATTTTTTGGGCCACACGCAAGCGCAACATATTTACGCAATGGTATTAACAATTATAATACATTTCTTCATTTGTTAAAGCCATTAAAATCATATGAGTAATGGTTAATCATTCGATGAACTAAATTTTTTGTATATTTCCTCTTTGTTTTCATGAGGGCGGTAGGGGCGGGATACACACGCACACGGAGGTGAAACACACACAACCAACGCAAAAGGAAAGACACAATTTAAGTGCATTAAACGGTTAAGAAAATAATGTCGAAAACGGAGTTGCGGCGACGACAATGACGAAAAAACCTAAAACTTATGTGAGAGTCGTTTGCCCTGGCACACACATACGGCAGCTCATTCCCCGAACAGGGGTTGTCTCGCTTCCACCTATGGTGTTTTTACTGGGAGCACGTTGCTCTAGTCTGACTGTTTCAGCATTTTCACACCAATACACTGGCATACACAAACACAACCACGAGCCATACGACACACAAAAGTAGCCTGCTGCTGGCCGAGAAATCTCTTATGGGGCCCCTTTTCTCACGCGCATTTTACACTGCGTTTTAGGTTGCACTTAATGTTGGCAATTAGGTTGACGAAAACTTACGTTTTGCAGCAGAAGCGCGCTTTTCTTTTACAATTTGCTTAACAATTTGTCGATTTTACATTTATACGCCATCTTGATTTTCGATACCGATAAAAACCCGAAATTAGCCCTCTTAAGCCCCTCTATTTATACAGGGGAACAAATTGAGGTAAATGGCGGCAAATATTGCTGATTGTAAATTCTTCTTTAGGTCCATGGCATCTCGCCTCTGAACTTGAAAGAAAACACGATATCTTTCACCTGGACTGCACTAAAATGATTAAATTTTCATTCCATTCGGTGGAATATTAAAATACCTCCTTGGTCTACAACGGGTTAATCGTTTGCCGTCATGGATTGGAAACCATATTCCTCGATTTTGATATTCCCTGGAATATTACTAGCTAGATAGAACCCTTAGCTCTGCCTACATATTTTTCTCCGATCAATGAATCAATTTTCTACTTGACTGGCTTGTGTTAAATACTCGCTTTCATTAGATTGTGTATAAAAAAGGCTTTAGCGAAAAGGGTCAAACAAATAAAACGTAAGTGAGAAACCATTCCTATTGCTCAATTTTGATATTCCGTTGAATAATGCTGACTAACCAAAACCTTCAGCTCTTCCCACATAGTTTCATCCTGTTTATTAATGAATTTTCTACAAGATAAAGTACTTTTAAATAATCCCATTTGTTGTATTTTGACTAAAACAGAAAAGTTCAACAAAAAACCAGTCGCAATGCGACTGGTATTTGAAGACTTGTTGCTTATCAACCGGAGTATGGGCATTTTTATACCCTACTTAGTCAACATGAAGATACTCTTTTCCAAACTATTTTTAAAACGTACGTAATTTATAGAGATCTATTCTTGGGCTTGGTTGAGTTGATACAATTTGATCTGCTTGGCCGTTATGCAAAGCTGTGGGAAGGGCGAGTAGAATATTGTTAGTTTAAGAATTTGGGCAGATATCGTGTCTTTCCACTCACCTGGTTGATGGGACACTGAAACTCTCAGGTCGCTTGCAGCAGTCGGCCTCATCGTGGACATTGTCACAGTTGTCACTGGTGGTACCATCGCAGATCAGAGTCTTGTCTCTGCCCTCGGTTGACTGTCAGCTGAACTGATCCGCCGGGCAGTCCTTTCGTCACAGCGCCAGAAGGCGGATATACAGTCGTTCTTTATGTCACTACTCCCGCCACTTAAAATTTTCTGGCCGGATACACGCCGTAGTTATCCTTGCCCTCCAGTAGCATCAGAGCATCAGAATCTGGCACGAGCATACGTCGTGAATACTGCGTGTCATACCCCGCTGGCCATGCAGATGTGGAAACACTTTGTGCGACTGTGCAGACAGGTGTGATTGCGCTCCTCTCCAGTCCGGTCTTATCGTCCGACACAAATCTCCCGAAGGCAGAGACCTGCGAGATGTGCATGGAAGCACGGATTTTTCTGTAAAGGGGGAACAGGAGATTACAAGTGTGCAAAGGTGTCCAATATTGGTTGCTTACTAACATCGATACGCATGGGATATCGGACTGTTGGTCTAAGGCCAGAGTCGTGACTTCTTCCAGGTCCACATGCTCATTGCCATCGACTCGGGCCCGAATGATGGCCTGATGGCTGCTGACATCTGTCCAGAAAAGCAGACGCTTCGAGGCTTCGGCGAGTTCGCCCAGGAAGCTATAAGAGGCAACGTTTTAGAACACAGCTGAATAGGGAGAGAGAGCTCCACCTGGGCACGGATAATCTTGCCGGACACCGGCAGCAGCTAATTCGGGCAGTCTGTCGTAGCTGGGAGGGATGCAGGCCACGTCCTTAGCGAGGCTGCGGCTCTGGCCAGTCTTGATCAAAGTCCCCGGTGCTCCAGTCGCTCCAGTACACGTAGTCCTGATACAGGGAAACCGCGTGGCGCTGCTTATGGAGTCCGAGGCGACTCTGTTCAAGTACATGCACCCGCGACGCGTCTCGAGGACGAGGGAACACGGCTTCTCCACCCCCCTTCCACAAAGCACGACGGCTGCCATCCACGCGGGTGATCTCGATGAGATGAGCCTCCGCATCGGACCGACGCGAGAACATGCCCCATTCCACACGTTTTTCCATCGCACCAGACGCCAGAATCTTGAAGAACCCGGTGTCCAGATGCCGTCCAGGGTCTGTTCTTTTTCCTCCTTTTTCAATTGTTTTCCTATGAAATTCGTCTTCTGGTGGCTGAGGCAGGGAGTAGTGGGCCACAACTGCGCCAAAGGGCGCCGCTGGTCGTTTCGGCATCGCTGCAGACTCTGTGGCTCGACTTTAACTGTAAATGCGAAGAAGGTGGAAAGCACGGAATAGCCGAGGAACTGCGGTTGTTTTTGGGAGTGCCCTCTGACAGGATTTACTGTTATTCGAAGCCACTGTAGGCAGACGCACAAGGCACTTTTGCTCATACAACAGTAGCATAAACAAACGAGTATCGTTCCAATTGCTCAATTTCTTTATTCCGTTGAATATTACTGGCTCGATAGAACATTTAGCCATGCCCACATAATTTTATCCGAATAATTAAACTATTCTCAACATGACTGGCTTATTTTAAACACTTGTTTTTATTGCATTTTGCGTAAAAAGCGGTTTTAGCGAAACAAGTCAAACAAAAAGCAAGTAGCAAAATAGGTTAATCAAAACAAACGAAAAGGGAAATTCGTTCATATTGCTCAATTTTGATATTCCATTGAATAATGCTGGCAAACTAAATCTTTCAGCAATGCCCACATAATTTTATCCCATTGATGAATAAATTTTCTACACGATTGGATAGTTTTTAATCCCTGCTTTTATTGGATTTTGTGTAAAAAGAGGTTTGAACGGAAAAGTTCGACAAAAAAAGAGTCACTGTGATGCGTTTAGGCCTTGGAATACCCTATTTTGTTAATTTTATATGAAGATGAAACGTGATTTATAAAGAAATTTTCTCAAATTGATATTCCTTAGAAATATTCATGTACATTATTAGTATCCTGTGTATATTTATGTCGATCCTGATACCTACGGAGCCTTGGAAGACAAACATATTCACAATTCTATAACATCCATTTCCCCCAGGGTATTTGTGCATGGAATTAGCAACATTTGTGCATGGAATGGGACTCATTGTTGCAATGGCGAAACTGCGGCGAATCGGGTATTGCCTATATTTCAAGCTATATAGATTTGCCCACTTGGCTTTATCCCATAGATAAATGCATTTTCTACAAGATTGCTTCTTTTAATTACCTTTATGTATGTTATTTTGACCAAAAAACGGTTTTCAAGTAAATGTTGCCGCAACTTTTGTGTATGGAATGCGCAACATTTGTGTATGGAATGAGACTCATTGTTGCTAAAGCGAACTGCGGCGAATTAAAATTTTCTCATATTCTTTGTTCCGTTGAATAATACTATCTATATAGAACATTTAGCCATGCCCACTCAATTTTGTACGATTGATGAATCAATTCTATACATGATTGGCCTATTCGAAATACTTGCATTTATTGGATTTCTATATAAAATTGAAAATTAAATTAATAGATTGAAGAAAATGGACAATGGCCACCACAATCGATAGTTGCAACGATAATTTTTAATTTTTTGTTACAATAGCTATCGCGTAGAAAACTTTCGTTTCATGTAACGACTAACAGATGGCGCTGACTAGCGACGTGTAGAGTTCATGTAAGATGCATGTCGACTCTTCTCTGTATCTCAAGTAAATACATAGATACCCAATCTATATATACATTCATTCCTGATCAGAATCAGTCTCTATAGCCATATCCGTCTGCTTGTCCATCCATCTATTTCTCCCGATGAGTGCCTAGATCTCAGAGACCGCAAACGCTAGAGCAACCAAATTCGGTATCCAGTCTCCTGCCGCCCCTCCCACACCAAGAAAAAGAAGCCTTCTCAAATGTAATATTTTCCCATCAATTCCCCGAAAAAAGGGGTTGCAGATGCCAATTTGAAAATTCCCGAGCTACAGCAGTAACCAAATACCTGCGCCAGCGAGTGCCGGAATGCTTTTTTATTGCCTGTCGTTTCCATAAAGCGGAACACGTGTGAATTCCATTAGACTGTTGCGCCCCCCTAGCTCCGCTAACCCTAACCGCCCCTCATCATGCCAACCCACGAATGTGAAACCCACCCAAGAAAATGTGACATAAAAAATGGGGAAAGCAAAAGCAACGGGTAAAAGGAGATACAGATACACATCCATCCATATGGGAGGTGGTTCTGGTGCTTCTGGAATTGATTGGGGTAGATAAGCAATCTTTCAAAATTGATAAACCATTTTCGTTGGTGTGGAGGGAAAATAGAGTTCAGAATTGAGTTTGCTAAAAAATCAGACTTCTTGGAGGTAAAACAAAGCAAATATCTATCGAAAATCTGTTCTATGGATATACTTTTATTGTTAATTGCATTTAAGATCGCCTAGAAGCCACGCCTCAACTCTGATTGGTTGAGAAATGGAATGAAAAACAAAACAAATCCACGAAGCAGCGGAACAAAAACAGTAACTCTCACACGCACACACACATTCGCATGCAAAGATCGTGGGCGAATGGAAAACCGTCGTCGGCACGAACCTGAAACCGAACGGCAATTAAGGTGTGAATTGATAAAACAAAGCGGGAGAGAGTCCGAGAGAGAGAGAGAGAGAGAGACCGCGCGTGTGTCTTCTCAAATGGTCTCAGGCAGAGCGGGATGGCTGCAAGTGGGCTGCACTATGAGAAAAACTTATGAATATGACTATAAAAATGATCTAAAATTATGAGTAAAATATATTTAAAAGATGATTGCACTGTACACTGATTGAAAATTAATTGAATGGCATAAATATTTAAAACTAAGTAAAAATATTACTATTTCAGTCCTTTTTGCTTTGTGTGTAGCTTTAAACACCAGCAATAATTTCTCTCAGTATTTTTATATTGCTTTTGCATATTTCCCCACTCTTCCTCCTTCTTTTTCGTTTCCTTTTGTTGTTTATAAAATATTTCCGCAACACAAACACATGTCGCACGGCTGCTGTCTTCCACATACTTCCTCTTCTTCTCCGCCTTCTTTTTAACCCACTCCCCCCCCACCCCACACCGCTTCTTCATCTAACGGAACAGCCTACGAATGCGCCATTTGGTTTCGTTTAGCGCTGTCTCTGCTGCTGCTGCTGCTTGCTGCGCTTTCCTCTGCCGGCGTCGCTGCCGCTGCCCCTGTCGGCGGCTTAGATCAAATAATGCGATTTCATGCCATGTCGCAAATTGTCAAGCATCCGCTGCTGCTGCCCCTACTCCACCCGCCACACTCATCGGGGGATGCATTTGCTCCAATTTGATTATGAAATCCCTCAAAAAACTAAAAATATTTCCTTTGAATATGTATGTATTTTTTAATTAATTTAAAATATTTTTTGCACACTTTTTTCAGCTCCCGCTCTCAACATTTTTCGTTTATCAACAAGTGGATTTTCGCGTTTGAAGTGTGCCGCAAGCAGGGAGTGGGCTCGAAAGAGTGCGGGGGGGGAGCGAGGGAATTTTTAGAGGCTGGAAACATTAAATTTTTCTAGACGCGAATCAATTTTCCAGTTGCTCTGCAGTTCACCGAACTGAGAGGTCGACGTCGACGTCGCCGTTGACGTAGCACTGACGAAGACTTCGTATTCGTAGGATATACTTAGAGATGGGCATCCAATTCGTGACTTATCTATGACCCCTATATTTATTTATTTATTGTTCCAATCAAAAGCATTGCGAATACACAAAGATACAAAAATTCCCTTTGTGAAAGAAGAAACACGAACCAGCCTTAAATCTAACAGACCATGGTCTCTTGCAGACCTAAAAGAGTACACACTCTGAATCTCCCGGATAACCAAACTGCAACCTAACATACAAAATTAAGTAAAATATCTTAAGAAAGATTGTAAATAAAGAAATATTCAGATATTTATGATCGAAGACCATCTGCAAGATCTGTAGCTTCGTGTTCGTGTTCGTGCATTGAGATCACGCCGAGTGCCCATCTCTAGCTCAAGCCGATGTTTTGTTTTTTATTGAGTACTATATAATTTTCATTTTGATGTCTTTTATGACACTTCCAAAAACGTGCGCTGCTTTGACTTCAGTTTTTGATTTCGTTTTGGTTTCCTTTCCTGATATTATATTCCTTTGGCTCTTAATAATTTCGGCTGTTAATCCCTGGTTGAGGGGGGACAGAGAGGGGCAGAGAGTATCTGAAATGGTCTAGGTATTTATGATTCCGTTTATGCATTTTTCTGTTTTATTGTTTAATTTTTTGTTACTTCGATTTGTTTCGATCTGCTCTTCGCATCGAAGCCGGCGGCGTTTGAAAAAAGTTAATTGAGTTGTAAAAATTATAAAGTTGTAAAACCCCCCCAATCTGCCGGGTAAAAGTTATTCGATAGATGCAGATACAGATACAGATATACTATAACTTCCAGTTGAAACCAGCTGGTAAACAAAAGCGTAACAAAAATACACTTCTTCGGGGTTTTACGATCGTGAAATGAATAGGCCTCTCGTCTCTCCTTTCTTTTCAAGGGGAGGGGTGTGTGGCAGGTCTTTCGAATAACGAAAAACCGGAGCAAAGTGGTTGCCATTGGATCCGGGCAGATCACCTGATCCGATCATCCATTAAGTATTATTTTCAAAAACTTATTTTGACGGAGCACTAATTTTTCAACCGTATTCCAAGCCAAATCTGATTACAGGCTCCAGTTTTGATTAATTTAAGACATTTGTTATAAGAAATTCATAAGTTTTAATGGTCTAAGTTCTCACGGGATCAGCTTTTTTCCTTAGGTCTGGTTAAGCCTGGTCCTTTAGTCATTTAGTCCTTTGTAAACAATTTAAACAGAATTAAACTAAAATTAATTAAAGTGAAGGAAACATTGCTTGCCCAAACGATCCTCAATTTAGAGTAATATTTAAGAAATACTTTCCCTAATTCAGATAAAAATACACCTGCTATAAAGCCTTATCAAAATATATAAGGGATCCACAAAAGTAACCCCTGGGAACCCATCGATCTTCTGATCGATCGAGCCCCCTACCGCCGTCAATTATTAAGATATTCCATTCACTTGTGCTTACCCTTAAATCCTCAATGATCTTATCGGCTCCTCATTAACGTTAGTTATGCCCTCAACCCTTAAGCCCCATTCAGACACCGAATCACCACCTCCCCCGACAAATACAGCTGCAACAAGTGGCAGGTCTCTAACGATTCCGAGAGTCCCAGTCGCAGAGCGCTGTCCACCCCCGACCCGACCCGATCCGAACCGATGTCGAGGTGTCATAAATCCACATGTGGCTGTAAAGTGTTACTAATTTCTGTTTCTGTTTCCATTTCGATTTATGTTCATGTATCTCTCAGCTCTTCGCTGTGCGACAGTCGCGTCAACCGATCCCCCGAGCGTCCCAGTTCCAACCCCATCCCCATCCCCACGATCTTCGATCCCGCTCGGGGGACGGGGACGGGTCCGCCTAATTTCACATGAACATGTTAATGTTTACACGCGTACCGCGATTTTTATGTTCGCCCCCGCCGCGTATCGTCAGCGGCAGTCCAGTCCCTCCAACCTCCGACCTCCACCCTCCGCCCATTTAACGATCCAACCAACCAACCACCGTCTTTAGCTTATCTGAACGATCCGACGGCGTTTGCCGAGCTCGTCTTGGGGGCCGCCACTCGGGCCGAGCTCCAGCTCCGGACCCCAAAGATCAGTCGCAGTTTGCTCGTCAGCCGCGTCGTGTCTCGTACTGGCACTGTATCGTATCGTCTCGTCTCAAGATCTGTGTGGGTGAAAAAAAAAAAAAAAAAAAAAAAAAAAAAACAAAACAGCGGACGATCAGCTCTGTGTGTCGCGATCTAAGTGTGTTTATGAGTTTATGTCGCCACTTGCCGTCGGTGGTTGAATATACGTAGATCTGAAGTAATTTCTTTCGGTGTGGAGATGAGCGAAAGTCCCGACTTGAACAGCGCCAAGGATCGGGCCAAGCCCGTGGAGACCCTGGTTCTGGCCAACTATGCTTTGAAGGCAGAGCAGAAGCGTGCCGCCGGACAGGGCGGCCGCAAGGAGGACGAGCGCATCACCAGCGCTGTCATGAAGGTCCTCGAGGGCTACGATTGGAACCTGGTACAGGCCTCAGCCAAGTAAGTGGTCGAAAGAAAGGGAACAATCGATCCAAGAAGGGTGAAACGGAGCTCATAAATCCATTCAAGAAGTGTTTCAGGAAGTGTTGAAGAATACGATACTCGTCTCTGAAAATTAGGGGCACCCCTATTAGAGGCTCCAAGTCCATTCATTTTAAGGAACTCATGGCTCCCTACATCGGAAGAGGATCTATCCGAAATTAGAGCTCCTGAACCGACTGATCTTGGGTTTGATCTTTACAGACACCACCGTAGCATCTGCAAGGTTGTAATCTCAGTATTACCAGGGACACCTAATTTGGGGAGGTATAGACATCTGTGACAGGGATTGGGTGGGGGGAAGCCGCTTTTCGCATAAACAGTTCCCTATTTTCCGGCAATAACCCAGTTCCCTAAACAGCCGATCGGATCCTCAATGAACCTCTCCCGAGTACCCTTTGCAGAACCCATGAATGACTAAGCGTACGGCATACCAGCAGATCTCTCACCTTTGGCGACTTGGCTGATTAACACAATTTCTAGAGACATATGGGTCTTCTTTTATTTAACTGGATATACAAATGTTGGGCGAACCGCAAAGAAAGAGAGGGAGTGAAAAATAAGCTAAGAGAGTGGGGAAAGGCGAACGAAACGATTGGGAATATGTCGGCATATGTAAATAGAATGAATTTACACATTCACACATATTGGACAAACCAACAAATGGATGAATATGTGTGTATGTATGTGGCGGGGGAAGCAACAAATTGGCCAAAGGCACAAATAATAGGAATAGGAATAGGAAAAGGAAAAATATACAAGATACAAGATACAGAGACACAGAAATACAAGCTTCAATAAATGTGCGACAGCGTTGAAAGATGTTCGAAAACGTTGAAGAAAACGACGGAGACAAATCAATTCAGGCATAAAAAGCGAATAAATATGTTTTTAGCGTAAAGATGCTAACTGCTAACAAGATGGGGGGTGGGGGATGGGAAGCCGGGTGGGGGATGGGAATGGGTACCCAACCACAAACAGAACGTAAGCCCAATCAACTGTACCGAACGGAACTGAAGACGGAGCAGAACTGTCTGACTGCCTGCCGTTGACACTTGACAAAAGATGACTGGACTCTGAAGACTCTGGGGACTCTGGAGACTCGGGTCGTGAGAAAGCCGGTAGCAAAACCGCGGCCTGATCTCTGTGATCCTTGGCAGTCAGATCTTGTTTAGTTCCTCCACAAATCTTCGTCTTCGTCCTCTGGTGTTTGTCCAGCAATTAGCAAAGTTTCTGGGACTGGCTGCTTCCTCCTTCTGGTCTTCAGTGATACCCTTTCGGAGAGTAAGATGACTAACGCCCATGGATTTTACATTGTATTTGCAACTACTTTAATGAGCAGCAAGGACTCACTGTCGGTAAAAAGACTATGCGATTATTCGGCAATCAATATAGCGATTTCCTTCTATTAGTCTTTCTGCTTCTTTGGATACTAGTTTGAGAGTTTAACAGACAGGTAATGCCTGAACCCGTTGCACAGATCCTAGGAACTGCCAAGATGTCATAGAAACAATCGGTCGATGGATTTATGTGAATGCAATTTCAAAAATATTCTCTTTAAAAGTCCCTCTTGCTAACGATAGGAACGATAGATCTTCAAGGGTATCTGTTTCTTCGGCTCCCAAAGCCCAGGTCTTTGTTTCGTGTCTGCGTTTGTCAGTTGTTGCCTCGTCGCTTCTTTGTTCTCGTGTTGCTGTTTCTTATCAGGCGATGGGGCCGTAGCGCCCCGTGGGGGCCTCTCTGATGGCCAGAGACAAACATCCTTGGGGCGAGCATGTATTCCGCTCACCCCCCCTCAAAGGGGGGGCGAGTGTGAGCTGGCCCCGCAGTGGAAAATGCGCAGAAAGCGCTGTCAAGAGCACGTGTGTGTTTGCACAAGGATACGTTTATGGGCGCCATTGCCCTGCCTCTATCTATCCACAGTTGTGTTCTACTACAGTACCACATACCCCCACCCCCTGACGGCCGCCTTTCTGCCCTCCTGTGCCACCCCATAGTCACACTAGAAATTGTTTACCTTGCGCTTTATGAGCCTTGTTTATTTCCACTTAAAATCGCTTAAATGCACATCGCCATGTCCCTCCTCCTCCTCCTCCTCCACTATCTCTCACCTTACCGAATTCTCAACCGAATTCCCCTGTCACCTGGATCTGGATTAAATCTAGTAATTTCTAAAGAATGCTGCAAATGGAAGGAATTTAATTGCTACACCCTTTTTGAGGGCGCAGATGCTTTAAGATTCCTTTTGAAGTGAAAAAAGGGAGGATAGATGGAAGGATTATGCCTTATCGGTGGGACACTGCAGATCTTGGTTTAAGTTGGATGAGTTTTAAACTTTTCTTTGAAGACCAGAATCAGAAACGGAATAGAAAAATGAGCCTTGAATGTTTTAATTATTCGAATATTAAAAAACATATTCACGAGGTTTTTAGAAGCTAATAAATGCCTCGACTCATCTGAAGAGCTTCCCCTTTAAGTGTCATAATTTCTTGGAACTCTTTTCAAACTTTAAGATACATTTGCATAACAAAAGCCAAATAAGCGCCATAAAGTAGTCTCTCCGAAAAAGAAGTGTTTATAGAACACGTTTAAAAAAGATTTTTGTTGGATTTTCTTGAAGATTTTTCGACTCTTTAACACCCCTCTTTGCCGTCAACATCTCATCAATTATATGTGGGATTCGTACACCAACATTCCACATTAAATTAGAAGAGATTTCCCTCTCTCGCTGCGCCTCTCCATTCATCAATCCATCAGTCCATCAACCAAGTTCCCCGAATGAAGCGCATAGCAAGTGTCGCCTAAGGCTGAAAATGTGGTTTCTTTTTGCTAATTTTTTATGGCCCCCTCACTCTCTGGTGGGGTGGCGAAACCACAACAGTCATATCAAAATTTATATTTTTGTTTGATTTGGTTAAATGAATTTCGGGTGAATCACTCTCGGGAGCGGATCGGATCGGAACGGGACCCAAAGAGATGGGAATAACAAAATTCCGACCAGCCACTTGAGCAGTCCCGCACATACCTATAGATACAGATACAGATACAGATACAGACATAGTTATAGGAGGGTTTGTTATTAAATAATACATATGTGTGCAAGTCACCCCATACTTTCCCGAGGGTAGCTCCATGTTGCATGTTGGAGCAGCCCCTTCCTGCCAACAGCTTCGGTGTCTTATGCGCCGCACTCTATTTGCTCGACGATAAGATATGGATACGCAGGAGGAACCGCGACTCCGTGTAGGACTCTGGCGAAGCTATAAATATTTTATTGCTTATCTGGGTGTCTGGCCCCAAGGTGTTATCACACCCCACGACCACCAGGTGGGGAGCACGGCCCGACCCGGCCCGGTCCCAGCTCTGATATCATGGAGAGGCTCTACATAGTTATTTCTGGGGTGGTGTTCTTGTCCGGTTATGCGGCGACGAGTCAATTTACATGGGCCCCAACAAGTCATCTCGGCCAGCCTAAACCAACACTCTCGTACACCCCATGCGGGGGCGGAGGGCGACTAGGGAGCTTCAGTAGAACACAGAGAAGGGTCTGACCACGTGACTCCCTTCAGTGCGGTTAATAGTGGGGCACAGTGGGACCACCAAGAGAAAACCGAGCGATTTCTATCGGATCTATGGCTAGTGGCATCTCAATCTAGCGATCAATCGATCATCTGAATAACAGGCTAAAATGCTTGAACATGCCATTGATTTTGTTCCACAAATTGATTGATTCCACAGTGGCATGTTCCATATGGTCCTAGCTGTTGCTGCTCCACCTCCTGTCCGGTCCAGCGAGACCTACTCCTATCCCTTTCCAACCCCTATCCCTTCCCCAAAACCTTCTCTACACCCCCAATCTATGGATGTACATATGTACCTTCCAGTGAGCGACCGGCAAAACTTTGTGCAGCAGCAACGAACTGAGATACACGTGCGGCTTACAAGACAAATATTGATTTTGTTGCTGTTGTAGCTCTTGTAGCTGTGGCACGGTGTGTCCGTGTCGGTGTCGCTGCGGTGGCCATAACCGCAAATGCCAGCCAAAAAGTTTTCAGCCTCCAGACGACGACGACGACGACGACGACGACAACGACGACTCCTCGCTTAGCATACTTCGGGGGCTGGTAATTTGTTCGCTGCAGGAATCTGCAGGACCTTCTCCTACCCTTCGAACCCCATTCGACCCAGGGGAGCATACGCCCCCCTGGGGTGTTTTTATCATTTTGTAGCGTGTCCCCCCAGAGAGGCGGAGGCTGGGTGATTTTATGACCAGGTGAACGCGACAATGGCCGAAAAGTTGGGCGAAAACCGCCATTCGAATGAGTCACGGCGAACCGTTGATGTTGTGCGATGTGAATAAAAGCCAGTTGGGGGATTGAAGGATTCGTCCGATAAACCAGCAAAAGGACCTGTCTCCTGTAAATCCTGAAACTGTTTGGGGAGCAATCGGTGAAGGCTGGGGGGAAGCTTAAGGGAAACATCAAATGATGTTTGATGAGCTGAGTGAAGAGTGTGTTCATCATTTTATTATGCGGGTATTGGTACCAAGGGACGCATTTGGAAAAGGGAAACACGGTTTCAGAAGGTGTTATAAGACACAGCACAGAAGGTTCTTGGTGTCTTACAATTATTACTGATTGTAAATATTCAAAGTGCGTTCGATGGCCCTTATTGTCACTTTTCCCATCAGCATTTTCCGCATAACCGAATAACCTTTAAAGCGTATCCGAACTTCTCACAGCTCTTTGCTCTCTCCTCTCTCCATTCTGTGAGTGTTTTGCAAAATATTGAACAACATTTTCGCATAAAAATTGAACGCATGTCTGATCCGGCCGTAAGCTTTTAGGCCAAGTACAGCTCCCTACAAATCCGTTCGATATGCCGTTTGAAAAAGGGTTCAACAGTTCAGGGATTGATGTCCTCTCTCCCCCCGCCCGCCCCCATCGATGGTGCTGGGAGTCCTGTGGGGAGGAACACACACGAGATTATGGAGGACTAGCCGGATATCCATTCAGCGCTGCTGCTCGCCCAGGGGCAAATAGGTGTGGCAAAGGCGAATATCCCATTTTTGCGAGATATGAAAATGCGCGAAGCTCTGTCTTTTACACTAGACTCCATGGGAATACATCACATTTGGCGGAACTTGATGGATACACGGAGATTTTTCATGAGTTTCATTTGCATTTTGGTGAATCATTCAAAGGTATTCGCATTCGCTATGGCATGACTCACTTGACACATGGAAATGTAAGCAAAGGATTATAGTTTATTATTGATGCATTTCCACTAATACTCTAATCCGATTTTCCATCCATTGAACCCCAAATATTCATATTGTTACAGAAGCTTTTTGTTGCAAAGTGTGATTGTTGGCCATGCGTTTGACTCAGGGCCACTCCATGACAATCATCAAATGTCAGGGACATACTCGCCTAGCTGGCTGACATCCTATACAGCATTGATTGTACGGGTAGTTGGCCCAATGAAGCGTCCGTCCACCCTTCCACCCATCCACCCATCCACCCGCATATCCACAAACAGGAAAAACAACAACAACGATGCAGGAGCTCCCGCCTGGCACTTAAACTGTCGCTCTTCATTGCCTGCTCTTCGTACATACGCCCCAAAGCATCCCATCCCAGGCATGTGGCAACGTTCACGCCTATCCAGATCCCGTGCTCCTCCCCGTTCCCGTTCCCAGGCGGTCAATGGGTGTCCTTTTTCGGCCCCCACTCCGCCCCCCTCCCCCACTGACACTTCGTTCAAGTGCGGCACAGTCGCTGTAAAAATAAATTGACTTGGAAATTGAAAAAAAGAGAAGAGGCAGCGCCAAATGAAATGATAACAGAGAATGGTCCCAGGATGAAGTGGGCCAAGAGTCGGCTTAAATGGAAAGCGAAAGCTTAAAAGCAATGTGGGCTCCGAAGGGTTTCCTCTTCCGCCAGTCCAGTCCAGTCCAGGCCAGTCCATCCCTAACCTAACCCAAGTCGAAAACCCCAGATGATTATCTGCTTCCCAGAACTGTTTCAAAGTCAATGCCAAACGGCAAACAGCCGCACACAAAAGCTGAGCAAACTCAGATGCAACTCTCACGGTAGCAGGCCTTATCGCCTTATCGGCGGGGACTGTGACTGAGACTCCGACTCTGCCCCAGTGTTTGACCACCTTTTCGGACTAACTTTTTTGTGAAGCAAGACCGCAAAGCAAACAGCCAGATAGCCAGCCAGCCAGCCAGCCAGCCAGTCTCCGAGCAACTGCATCCGTTGGATGCATTTCAATGTGCCTCAAATTTGTGTTTGGACAAAAGTGTCGTAAAAGAAGAAACGACGGAAAGCGACGGAGTGCGTGGGAAAATGTGGGGCCTGCCTAAGCAAACAAGCTGCTGTGGCGGCGCTGCAGCGGCTGCAATTTGTTTACACGCACTGTATCTGCTAGATACATTTCATATTTGTGAACTTGTGAAAATCGCTGAGACGTCTCCTGCCTCCCGCCTCCCTCCTACCGCCTCCTCCTCTGACGCTAATTAGGCGCATTTGTCCTCACATTGACATGCGCTTACAAATTGGAAACGAAAATGGGCATGGAGATTTTCGTGGGGCTCTGTTAAAGCTGTAAATATTTGGACACTATGCGGGTATTCCCCCCTAGCCCCCTCTACTTATTCCAATTTAATAACAAAACCCACTAATGGTCCATGGCTGATAAAGAGATGCGCCACAAGAGCCAAAGTACTCGTATCTCTGGCATATGCAAAAACAAAAAGAAAGAAAAGATACTCGTAATGCAAGAAAAAGCGAAACGAAACGAAAATTCCTTGCGGTCTCTGCCCATTTCTCATATTTTGCTCGCAAGCCAATGGCCACTTGAAGATATCACTTAATGAGATTTGCGCATCTCCGAATGCAACAACAGGCGGAGAAAACGGGCCAGGAAGGGTCTGGTTTTTCGAAGACGAAGCCTGAGATACTCTCGATTGGCTTTTGTGTGTACTGTGGCCTGGCTTTCAGGCAGTGCAAACACCGTGTCCGAGTCGCAAGTACCCCCACCGGCAAGTGTATTTTAATGAAGACGTGCTTGAGTTGCCAAGTGCCTGTGGGGGATGCTGCCATTCCTCATGAGGCGCACTGCAGCATCTCCCAGTACAGCTAAACGAACATCACTTGATTCTGATTAGCGTGCTGTCAAGCGTGAGAGTTGCATCCACAAACAACACACAGATGCACAGATACATAGATACACGGATACAATGGCGATGGGATCGCGACGCCGACGATACCAACGGCAGATAAGCAGAGCCTCGGGCCGACAATCCTCCCCAAGCCTGGCCGCCGGGCGCGTTTTTAATCGCTTAATAAGCTTGGGCTCAGCCAAACCCATAATTAAGACCAGGCAGAAAGACCAGGGGGTAAGGAACGCAGGTCTTCAAAATAGGGAGAGACTTAGAAGAGCTTTGCACCAAGAAAACCACTGAAACCTCAGCCAAAGGATTCATTCATTGTTTCAACCTTAAACAGAGAAAAACGCACCTTCATGTCTTTAATGCATTCGCTTATTTGAATAATATAGTTCCAAGTTCATTGATTTTCAAAATCGGATCGGTATGACCTCATGTTAAATATACTGCCAGCAATCCAATCAAATTTGTTTGATTTGTCATTCACGAAAGTGTGCCATAGATTTTCACGAGAGCCCGGTTAACGCCATTGGCCATCCAATTGGTTTCCACCATATAGTCGCCCTCGGGAAAGCTCAATACTTTCGTAATTTTGTGATTTACAAAGTCGGCAGTGAGCCTATCCACTATAACATCGTGCTGGATTCGTGAATACTTAGTTTCAAAGATCAACAAAATCCAGAAGATTGGAATCATTTACTTACATCGTAGGGGCAGGAGTGGTTCAGATTCGATTGAGTGATGAAGAAGCTGTAAAAGTAATTAAAAATGGGCTTCGATTTGGGATTTTTGAGGAATTTGCAGGCATCCACAGTGATGTTGTACAGAAAAGGCTTGTAGCCATTGAATCGCTTCAGCAACGAAACATTTACCTACAACCACAGAAGGATTTTTATATAGGAGGAAAAGTCTCAAGCCTTTTGGCTTCTACACTTACTTTGATTTCCGAAACAGGTTTTTTGTGTAGGTTAACTTTCAGGGATAAATATTTGTAGCTCCGATTCACTGACTTTAAAAAGCAGTTTTCAATGCCGCTGAAGTCATCGTCCAAAGAATTGCACTGGATGTTTGTGAACTCGAACTTGGAGGTGATCTGGAAAATGGTATCATTATAAATCTGTACTAAGGATGATGTTAGGGTGCCGCATACCTCCAAGATCAATAACAGCATCACAACGAGCTGAATGAGGACGTTCAGTCGAAAGCACATCGTAGCACTCTCATGGACCAAATAGAACTGTTATTAATTTTAGGTCCAGCTTGTACTTTTATATTAATTGCTTATTAATCGGAAAATAATGAAAGCGTTTAACAAATGGAAGCCAAAAAAACAAATAGTTTTGTAGTTGCGGATAATTAGCTTATAAAATTACATTCAATTCGCATTCACTTTCAGTAAATACCATTTAGATGATCATCTCTTAATACCACGTTTAATAGTTTATACCATTTTGAAGTATGCTTTGAGAGAGTTTAACAGAGCATAAAACCCGTCGTCTCTTATATTTTGTGTATATATTGCATACATTTATACGATGTAGGAAACTTTTCCGAAACTAAAATCAACCTGCATGTTGCATGCAAGTATGGAGCACATTTCTCTTTCTGCATGCGTATATTGTTTTATATTTTATATTCAACTATTTTTGATTTATTTGCTTCGTTTTGAGTGCAGGGATTCGGTGAACACACACACCAGAGAACACCCGAGAACACCTGTTTATTGATTTGCTCTGATTGAAAACGGTGTGGATGGTGCGTCTTGTATTTTTTTTGTGCTGAGTTGAGTTTTTTGTGGCTGGCATAGGATGCAGTCAGGCATATCAAATAAACATCCACGGAGAGAGGGAGAGGGGAGGCATTAACACATCCATCGGATACACCCACAGATACACACACACACAGACAAAGAGGGACAGAGTCACTGGCAACTCAATTGAAAGATTTACCTAACAAATCTGTTGCCCTGATCATGTTTACTTAGGATAAATAATTCAATATATGTGCATGGCTCTCTGGCCCTGGAGGAGATGAAATCTCCGGCATTGTACTATGAACAGCCTCCTAATACCATCCCATCCGAACAGCCCGCCCCTTGCCCCGCCTATCTCTTTGATTGAATCTGGGTGTCCTCTCAATTGTAGTCTTTGGTGCTACAACATGCTAAATAAAAATGAGTCTATACTTCTGGATAAAGACAATGTGTGGGAGGGGGAAACACATACGTATACTACGCCCGTGATGGAGAGAGAGAGACATCCATTAGGATAGGGGGAGTATCCTACGAGTATAGAAATCTGTGTTTGTGTGTGTGCTCGTATGCATGGCACATTGTGGCCAAGAAGTTATCATACGCCTCGTCAGTTTTATTTGAATGAGTTTGGATCGTTTGTAAAAGGACTGGGACTGAGGCCTAGAGAAGCAAAACATTCCCCAAAATATGTAAGGCATCAGAGTATACTATCTTTTAGCCGCTGTTTGTAACAGAACAGAATAAATATAAGAAAAACCTAAGTAATAGGTATTCAAAAGTCGACTATCTCTGCCCCTCGATGCAGTGTCAAGCCTTTGGGCAAATACTCAAACAATTCAAATTAAATTTAGAGCAAAAAGAATCGATTTTCAAACAGAAAATTGCAACTTGTTTGAAGAGTTCTCTGTTCTCTTCTCTTCTCTTCTCTTCGCTCTTGAATACAATGATTTTTGATGATTTTCCCGGATTTTCGTGATTGCTTTTGTTTTCGTTTCACTGCCACTTCCCGCTGCGCTGCACAATCCTCAATCGCAAAAAGGCGAAACTATATTTTGACTGAAATTTGAACTTTCATGGCCTCTGGCCTTGTCTTCTCTCTCGTTTTACTCCATTTCTGTAGTGCTCCCTCTCTCCTTCTACTTTCCTTTCCCTATTTTATACGCTCTTTTTCGCCTAGCCCATGGGCAAGTAAAAGTTTTAATTGCAATTTTCAGTTTGACATTATTCGTTGTTGTCGTGGAAAAGTGTTTCGTTTCGTGGACATTCTTTTTCCAATTAATGAAAACCTATTTTGCTGGCCAGCAAGTCATTTCACTGCGCCACTGAGCCACCAGTGGGGAGCCACTTCTCTGATTTCTGATTTCTGTTTTTTGATTTCCCATTTCTCATTTTTCTGAACCTCTTCCAGGGCGCCCACGGACCGCAAGAAGGAGCACATCAAACGTCCGATGAACGCGTTCATGGTCTGGGCCCAGGCAGCTCGTCGCGTCATGTCCAAGCAGTATCCGCATCTGCAGAACTCCGAGCTGAGCAAATCGCTGGGCAAGTTGTGGAAGTAAGTACATATACCCCGTGCGGAGATAGAAATGTACAAGAGGGAGGGACCACGGCCACTCGAGTCGAAAGGCAGGGCAGAGCAAGGGAGAGGGCGTGAGCAGTGGCAGGGGCACGTCTCCGACAGCGTAAACGTTGGGGCATGAACCACTTGGAAAGTGTCTTTTATAAGCTCCACTTGTCGTCTCTCCGAGTGGCGGGCAAAGATGCAACTTGGAGGGGAAATAAAAGGTCGGAATAGTGGAGAATAGTTGGTTAAGGGCTCGGACGAGACAGGGAATTGCATTAGCAGACAGTTCTCCATGGCTGGCAGCCTGCTGGATGTTTCGTGTTGGAACCAGCTCTGAAAACGCAACTTGTATGAGCTGAAATCGTACCCTACCTAATGAGCACACACTGCATCCTTTAGCGCTCTGAAAACCAACACAATTTAAGGCTGCTTTCCTCCAGAGAGTATCATATCTCTCATCTCTTGATTAATACAGAACTGTCAGGCCAAAGATTGCCGCAATCTGCGCCACAGCGGCGTCGCTTCCACACATATTGTTTGTAATAAAATATTGTTCGGTTCGAAATTAAAATTTCACAGTTCAGCGAGCGGGGCGACACAGGCGATAAGAAGTTGAATCTGCCGCTGGCCGATAAGAGGGGCAAAGCATCCGCCTCGGCTAATTGGGAATTGGGAACGGGGAGCTGGGAACTGGGGACGGGGCTGGACCAATTTGTAGACCAATAAATAATTCAAAATCGACTGCCACTGACACAGACTATTTGCCTTTCTGATTCGCAGAAATCTGAAGGATAGCGATAAGAAGCCGTTTATGGAATTCGCCGAGAAGCTGCGCATGACGCACAAGCAGGAGCATCCCGACTACAAGTACCAGCCGCGTCGCAAGAAGGCAAGGGTCATGCCCCAGCATCAGGGAGAAGGCATAGCCCCCTCAGCCACAGCCGCAGCGCCCGGCGCTTCCCCGATGACAGTTGGTGCCAGGCAGCAGAGGAGCTCGAACTCGGGCGGGGTGTCCTCCAGTGGCCAGAGGCGTGCTCCGAAGGTAAACGGATCCAATCTGTGCTCCACAGCGGGGTCCAGCTCCAGTTCCAACTCCACCTCCACCTCCACCTCCGCCTCCACCTCGGATGTCTTCAGCAACGAGGCCTTCATGAAGTCCCTGAACAGTGCCTGCGCCGCCAGCCTCATGGAGCAGGGGCTCAGCCTAAACAGTGAACCAGGCCTGGACTCGCCCTGCTCCACGGCCAGCTCCCTTTCCTCGCTCACACCGCCGGCCACGCCGTACAGCGGCTCCTCCGCGAAGCCCACCGCAGGAGGCGTCTCCTTGAACAGCTCCAGCCTGCTGCTGCGGCAGCTGAGCGAGCCGAGCAGTAATGGTGGCAATACAGATTACGGGGTCCTGCTGGATGCTGGCCGGGAGTACATAGCCCTGGGCGACGTCAACTACGGCCAGCAGCAGCAGCAGACGCAGGGGGCCCCTGAGATGGATTTCCTGGAGAACATCAACGGCTATGCAGGCTATGCGGGCAATGGGCGGGGCGTGAATTATCCCGGCTATGCTTACACTCCCGCTGGAGGAGGAGCAGTGGGTCTCGGAGTGGGGGACTTCCAAGAGCAGCAGCAGCAGCAGCAGCCGCATCCACAGGCCACAACGAGCGTCAGCGCGTCACAGGCCAGTGGAGCCTTAAATTACAAGTCAGCCACTGACATCGATCCCAAGGAAATTGACCAGTATCTCATGGATCAAATGCTGCCCATGACGCACCATCACTCGCCGCCTTTGAACTCCTCCGCCTCGCTCTCCTCGGCCTGCTCCAGCGCCAGTGCCAGCTCCCAGGCGGTCGTCGAGTGTGCGGCCTACTATGAGCAGTTGGGCTACCTCCCTTCCGCCCAGAGTCAGAGCACGAACTTTGGCCCCCAGCACCATGCAACATATGTTTCTGCGGCTCCACCACTCGCTCCGCATCCGCATCCACATCCACATCCCTCTGCCTTGAGTGTGCCTGCAACCGTAACGCAGCAGGAACTGCAATCCCATTCGCATCCCCAGCAGCAGGAGCAGCACCAGCACCAGCACCAGAACCCATCGCAGCATCATCTATGGGGCACTTACACTTATGTCAATCCCTAAGATACTTCATTTGCACATTTGTTGTCCTGCGTTGGAGCGCTCCCCCTCTTTATGGGTCACTCGAATGGCTTTCGTTTATTGGTTTATTGTCTGTGCAATGTCTGTGTGTGTGTGTCTGTGTGTGTGTGTCTGTGTGTATGTGTCACTCTGTCTGTGTGAAGAGTATCTGTGTGCGTTGAGCTCGAGGGTCTTTTTGGGAGGATTTTGTGCAATTTAAGCTAATCGCTGCGATTTTCCTTTATGTCTGCATTCCCCACATCAATATGCGACTCGGATGGGAATTTATTTTCTCAAATGAAATGCGAAAACAAATGCAAGACAATTCCATAGCAAAATTACTTCAATTGCCTATCAAATGTTCTTTTATTTCAAAGAAAATACCTCGAAACTGATGATGCTTGAATTCATAGCTAAATGGAAGAAATACAATAAATGCAGATAGTTTTAGCAAACTCTAAAAATTTAATTAAAATAAATAATACTAAGTGTATACGGAATTGTATGAAAAATGTGTACAATTAAATACGAAATAGTTGTATTCAAATATAATTAATTATCTGAAAATCACGGGTTTTTTTAATTAAACCAACAAAATGTAGAGAAAAGTACTTTCCCTTTTATTCAATTTCCATGATTTTTCTGGAAAGCAAACTTTCCTTAGGCAGGGATTGACATCACATTGGCGGGGCGTGGCCTGTGGCAGTTTCCCACACTGTGTATTCTCCATTTTTGTATCTGTTAGACACATCTCCATCTTTGGATACCCGTGTGAGCGGAGCGGAGTGGCACCTGTAACTGTTGTAAAACCGAAAACAAATTCCAACGAAATTAACACCCGCCTACCAAAACGAGTATTTGCAAAACCGAAACCAAGACAAAATGGAAAACATACTCATCCGCCGACTGGCGTTAGGCGCTTTTTGTCGGTCTAAATTTCGTTATTTAGCACGGCATTTATTTTATTTATTTAAATTTGAGAGAGCTTAAGTTCAATTTGCGCCTGTAACAAGTTGTTGTTAATTGAAGCGCAAACAGGAAAGGAAAACAAAAGCACAGTGAAAAAAAAAATACAGAAAAAAATCAGAAAACCGAAAAACATTAGAAAACCAGAAAACCAAAAGCGTTGCCAAAATGGCCGGCAGCACAAAATGGCGGAGAGCAAACAGAAACAGAAATTTATTTATGTGTACACTGTACACGCATTAATTTCGAAAGTTGAACAACAACAACAAAATTGCACACAGAGAAAAGTTTTGGTAAGTCAAATTAACACATTTACTGGGCTCTTGTGTATTTATTCCCATAATTTATGCACAATATTTATTTACCGAGATTTTTTCGTCTTCTTTTCTCGCGAGTCGCCTTCTCCCTAATTATGCAAATTACTCTTGCCCATTTGCCAGTCCGAGGATTGGGTCGGACTCTGGTGCTGATGCTTTGCCTGAATTGATTATGACAGTCCGATTTAATTTGGCAAGAAACGCTATGTTAAGAACCGGGAAACAGTTCGAGGATGAGGAGCTACTAAATATGCGATGCAATCAATTTAATTCGATTTATAAAATATGTATTCATCCGCTCTCCTTGGAGTTCGTTTTACTAATAATTTCGTTATAGATTTAATTTGGTTTTAATTTCGTTTCGGGCAACTCGATAATTGCGCAAATAATGCCCAGGAGATTATCTGCAGGCGCGTGCCGGTTGGGGGATCATCGAGCAGTCTCCGGGCACGTGGCATATCGGAGGAAGAGCGGAATGCAATGAAGCACTAAATGCGAATGTCATTCCTCATTAATTTCAGAGGCAGACAGGCCTAAACAAATGCTATGGCTGCGAAGGGCAAGCCAGAAGCCTCTTTGTGTGGCTCTGGGGTTTCGTGGGCTGGTGGGTTTGTGTTGGTTTGTTTAAATGTTATTAAAACTAATGACGTTTGCAACAAACTTTGCCGTTGCTCCTATCACATTGCTGGTCATGCAACGGGTCGTATGCGTAATGAAATTTTGTTGCCTTGTGCTCTCCATGTAACTCAATTAATGGCCACAGAGTCGAAGGGCCCAAAGTTTGGCGATGCGGTCTCACTTTAAATTCACTTCAAGAACTTGTTCCCCTGCTGATCCGCTATTGCAGGGGGGGATTATCATTAGACCAGAGGAGGCTCAGCACCTGAACTCTTGTCCGAACTGGAATGTTATTCAAATGGAGCAGCACACGAGATCTGCCTAATGGTCGTTGAAAACTTTTGACCCACAAATACAGAGAGAGGAAGTCCACAATTGGAGGGGCGTAGCGTAACTCCTTGGAGGAGAGGCAGGCTTATTCTTATAAATGAAAGAGAGGCCTGAGAATAATGGCAGCATTCCTGCTTCATGTTTTCTCCTGCAATTTGGCTTTAACGGCAGCAAAATGTGAAAATGTCAGGCACTCAAGCATCTCAAGCACAAGCCAAAACAGAAACAAAAAGAAAAGAAAAGAAAATAATATTGTGGAACCATTTGAATAAAATATAAGGCGAGAAAAGTTAAATGTGATGCTAAAGCCACAGTCTCACAGTCTGGCGGTGGCTGCTCTTACTGTGCCTCCGCACTCTTGAAAGTAAATTGAAATTTTGTTTAGTTTTTTAATACCCTCGCAGAGGGGATCACGCTGAGGGAGACATAGGAGACGCTGACGGGGCATGTTTCACAGATGAAGTCATAGAAATTTGGATTTTGTGTAACGACGCACATTATATGCAGAAACATAGAAATCAGAAAGAAAGCAGTCCAACACAATCCAAGCACTGCTTGAGCACACGGCTTTAATCCGCCCGCCCGAAAGTATGCAGATAAAATTAAGCAATGCTTACGCTAGCGAGTATACAGTATATGTTCTCACCTCATATGGCCTTGACCGCAAAGCATTTTGCAACCGAAACTAATCAAAAGATAATACGCAGCCAACTTGAATAGCGATCACACGATATGTTAGTGCCCTTCTAGCATAAATACTACCGGCACTCGAGAGGAAAACGAAGAGAAATGCTGCTTATGTTGGCTTTTATTTCATGGACTCAAAGCTACATTGTACTGTTAATATGGTGAGGTAACATGACCCAAAAAAAAGATAGTCTGCTTGTCCTTGATGGCGAAAAAAAAAGGATGATCGACGATGAACGGTTTTGTCGGCCGTTCCATTAACAGGATTGACAAAAGCCAAGAAGTTGGAGCTGCCATTAAAGGAAATCATTAATGTCCTCGAGTCGTCACTGAGTTCGACTTACCGCCTGCGGAAGCGTCAGCAGTTCCGTTCTCGTTCAAATCGAGGTAGGCCTTGTGAACCATATCGGAGATCTTTATGTCACGGCCCTTGGCAAGGCTACTAAAGTCGGCATTGGGACCGAACATGGTCTTTATACCCAGCTGAAAGAATTACCGGTGGGTTAGTGCTCAGCTGTCCAGCTGCTCGTCCATCGCATAGTCACCTGATCTAGGACAGGCTGCAGGGAGACATCAAACTCTAGTTTTAATTTGGGAATCTGCAGCTGCACGTGCTCCCTTCTCATTTGCGAACTTATCTCGTTCAGGTCCAAAACACTAAGCTTCTCCTCGAGTTCATACAGTCCCTGCACCTCTAAAGGCAAAATGATCAGGAACACAATGTCCGTTCCTTTGTAAGGCATTTCCAAAGCCGTGGCCTTCAGAGATGGCAACTCGGCGTACCTAAAAAACTCCCACTGAAACATGGTGTACGTGCTATGCTTTTGGCCATCTATGGACACAAAGCCAAAAGGCTTTGTCTGAAATTGGTGGAAACCCTTTAGCCAACTGGCTTTGAAGTAGACCACATTGGTCAGGATGGCGGCACTGTCCGAGCTGATGTGTTTGTGAGATCTGAAGAGGAAACTGATTTGCTTATGGGTTTGCTCCCGCACCCAGGAATTGATTTCGTCGTGAATTTTTATACTCTCCGCGAAGTTCACATTCTCGGCGGATGCGTTAAAGTATTTACCAGCCAACTCTTGATAAGCCTGAATAAGCCTGTACCGCTCGGCCACGTAGATACGGTTGGCATAGCTGAACTGAGCGTCATCCCCATACTGTTTTTGTTCTTGGGCCAAACGATGAGCGAATCTTTGGGCCATGTCATTCTTGTCGGAACCTTCCAATAAGAGGGCCCGCTTTAGCTCCTCTGCAGTGGTGCCTTCTGCGCCCAGGTATGCCAAGCCAAGGGCTGACCTAATTGACGGCGGCGAGAATACGACATACCGAACAGTGCTAGTCTTGTGCAGCACACTGAAAAGCTTTGAGGCAAACTTGGTGTCGGACTGGACCATCGTGAGAAGAGAGCCCAAGAGAAGCAAAAGTGAGAGCGCGGCCATAGATCCTGGGGAAAGACACGGAACAGACTAATAGTTAGAGCAATGGCCAGAGCTATGCTCTTGAGTGTCACCTACCCGTCATGATGGAGCTAAATAAATTAGCCGAGTTCCGTGCCTTTCTTTTATACGCGAACAGATGTAATTTGATCGTAATCTGTGACGATAGGGGCTATTCTTATAGGGCCTTAGAATTGTAGATTGTAGTATAATTCTCCCGCAATCTGAATCTTTATTTTTAACACTTTGCAGAGGATATTCTGATGCTGATCAAATATTTCCAACGCAGAGAACGAATCAATCCATAGTCTGTTTTTTGTTTTTTTTTTGCTATCCATAGCATCTTTTAAAACTATCTTGCAGGAACTCCTCGCAGACTCCTCGCATTGTTGCATGCATCATTATGCAACCGAAACCAATCAGCAAATCGACTTCCGTGAGCCCTTGACCGCGAAGGTGATACTTATTAACAGGCCACGTTCAAAAGAATACATTGGGACGAATAGCCAGCCAGAAAAATTAGGTTAGAGACTTAAAGTTGGAGTCTGCTGATTGTAAACAATAGCCGTTTGGAATCTTTTATTTCATGGACTAATCGCTACATACATATTCTAGTAATATGGACGGTTAACATGACCGAGAAAGAAGGTAGAATGTTCGTCCTTGATGGCGAACAAAAAGGGATGATCGACGATGAAGGGGTATGTCTTCCTATTAGGGAGTTTAACTGACTTTGCCATCACTTCCACATCTACCATTAAAATGAGGAAGTCATTAAGGTTATTAAATTTTTACTGGCTTAACTTACATGTGGAAGCAGCAGCAGTGGTTCCGTTCTCGTTCACATCTATGAAGGCCTTGTGCTTCACCTCGGAGATCGCCATGTCCGCGCCCTCGACAAGGCTACTAAAGTCTGCATTGGGATCGAACATGGTCTTTATACCCAGCTGAAAGAATTATCAATCGGTTAGTGCTCAGCCGACCAGCTGCCTCTTCATCGCATAGTCACCTGCTGTAGGACAGGCTTCAGGGAGACTTCAAACTCTAGTTTAAATTTTGGCATTTGCAGCTGCACGTGCTCCCTTCTCATTTGCGAACTTATCTCGTGCAGGTCCACATCACTAAGCTTCTTCTCGAGTGCATACAGTCCCTGCTCCTCTAAAGGCAGAATGATCAGGAGCACAATGTTCGTTCCTTTGTACCGAATTTCCAATGCCGTGGCGTTTAGAGACGGCAACTCGGCGTATCTAAAAAACTCCCACAGAAACATAAAGGACGTCCTGACTTTTTTCCCATCGCTGGACGCAAAGTCGTGCACCGCCGTCAAGGACTCAGAGAATGCATGTTCCCATTGGGCTTTGAAGTAGATTGCATTAATCAGGATGGCGGCAGTGTCAGAGCTGAGGGAGTCAGCGCTGATAAGGTCTTTGATTTGGTCATGGGTCTTCGCCGCGACCCAGGAATTGATTTGCTGGGACACTTTCATTCTCTCTCCGAAGTTCACATTCTCGGCTGATGCGCGTAAGTACTTACCGGCCAACTCTTGATAGGCCTGAATAAACCTGTACCGCTCGGCCACGTAGATACGGTTGGCATAGCTGAATTGAGCGTCATCCCCAGACTGTTTTTGTTCTTGGGCCAAACGATGAGCGAATCTTTGGCCCACGTCATTCTTGTCGGATCCTTCCAGTGAGAGGGTCTGCTTTAGCTCCTCTGCAGTGGTGTCTTCAGCGCCTAGGTAGGCCAAAACAAGGGCTGTCCTGATTGACGATGGCGAGAATACGATATTCGGACGGCTCTTGTCCCTGACCAGCACTCTGAATAGCTTTAAGGCAAACTTGGTGTCGCCTGTGGATCTGTCGGCCTGGACCATCGAGAGAAGAGAGCCCAAGAGAAGCAAAAGTGACAGCGCGGTCATGGAGCCTGGGGAAAGACACAGAACAGAGGAATAGTTGGAGCTATTGCCAGAGCTACGTTGGTGTGTGACTGTGTCCTACCCATCACGATGGAGATGAATGAATGAGCCGAGTTTAATGGCTTTCTTTTATACCCGTAGAATTGTAATTTGATCGTGCTCTGTGACGAGAGGGGCTTCAAGAATGCTTCAAATCTGTAAAATCTTCTAACTTTAATTCTCTCACAGTCTGAGTCTAAAGACGCCAAGATCTTCAGGGTTTTCTGAAAATGAGATAAGAGGACGAGAGTTGCTCACGTCCTAGAAGTGACCTGTGTCCGCAGCTCGTCGAAGTCAAAGTGTGACGGTCCCACGAAGCAATCAAAACGCTATTTGGCCGTCTTCCCTGCCATGGTTTTGTCCATTCAGAAAAAAGTATCCTACCAAATCGTATGTTAGCGAGTATGCAGTATATGTCCTTACCACGCACATTTCAATCGAAACTAATCAGGAGATGATATTTATTAACACGCACCCATCTTTAACAGCGATCACTACCGATACTAGAAAAGAAACCAAATAGGAATGATGCTTATGTTGGCTTTTATTGCATGGAATAATAGCTACACACGTATTCTAGTATTACGGACGGGTAACATGACCCAGAAAGAAGATACTCTGCTCGTCCTTGATGGCGAATAAAAAGGGATGATCGACGATGAATGGTATGGTCTGCCCTTTGTGGCCTGAATATGGCACAGCAACCAAATCTGCGATCAAAGTAAGGTAATCACTAAAGTTACTACAATCGTTGCTGCGATTGACTTACATGTGGAAGCAGCGGCCGTGGTTCCGTTCTCGTTTACATCCATGAAGGCCTTGTGCTTCACCTCGGAGATCTTTATGTCACGGCCCTTGGCAAGGCTACTAAAGTCGGCATTGTGACCGAACATGGTCTTTATACCCAGCTGAAAGAATTACCGGTGGGTTAGTGCTCAGCCGTCCAGCTGCTCGTCAATCGCATAGTCACCTCCTGTAGGACAGGCTTCAGGGAGACTTCAAACTCTAGTTTAAATTTGGGCATCTGGAGCCGCACGTGCTTCTCTCTCATTTGCGAACTTATCTCGTTCAGGTCCAAAACACTAATCTTCTCCTCGAGTGCATACAGTCCCTGCTCCTCTAAAGGCAGAATGATCAGCAAAACAATGTCCGTTCCTTTGTAACGCATTTCCAAAGCCGTGGCCTTCAGGGAGGGCAACTCGGCGTGTCTAAAAAACTGCCACTGAAACATAAAGGACGTTTTGACTTTTTCCCCAAATCGCGTCGTAAAGTCGTGCGTCGCCGTCATGGTCTCAGAGAAAGGACTTTCCCATTTGCCTTTGAAGTAGATTGCATTAATCAGGACGGCGGCAGTCTCAGAGCTGAGGGAGTCGGCGCTGATGAGGTCTTTGATTTGGTCATGGGTCTTCGTCTCGACCCAGGAATTGATTTGCTGGGACACTTTAAAGTTGTCTGCGAAGTTCACATTCTCGGCTGATGCGTTGAAGTATTTACCGGCCAACTCTTGATAGGCCTGAATAAGTCTGTACCGCTCGGCCACGTAGATACGGTTGGCATAGCTGAACTGAGCGTCATCTTCAGACTGATTTTCTTCTTGGGCCAAAAGATGAGCGAATCGTTGGGCCACGTCATTCTTGTCGGATCCTTCCAGTGAGAGGGTCTGCTTTAGCTCCTCTCCAGTAACTCCTTCGGCGCCTAGGTAGGCCAAAGCAAGGGCTGTCCTGATTGACGATGGCGAGAATACGATATTCGGTCTACTCTTGTCCCTGGCCAGCGCTCTGAGTAGCTCTAATGCAAACTTGGTGTCGCCTGTGGATGTGTCGGTCTGGACTATCGTGAGAAGAGAGCCCAAGAGAAGCAAAAGTGACAGCGCGGTCATGGAGCCTGGGGAACGACACAGAACAGAGGAATAGTTGGAGCTATGGCCAGAGCTACGCTGGTGTGTCCTACCCATCATGATGGAGATGAATGAATTAGCCGAGTTTACTGCCTTTCTTTTATACCCGCAGAATTGTAATTTGATCGTGTTCTGTGACGAGAGGGGCTTCAAGAATGCTTCAAATCTGTAAGATCTTCTGACTATAATTCTCTCTTAGTCTGAACCTTTATTTTGTACACTTTAGCACAGATCAATATATAGATATTAGATATTTCCAACGCAGAGAAGGAATCAATCCTGTCCTAGCCTGTTTGTTTGCTATCTCGTACATCTTTTGAAGCTATCTTGCGGAAGCTCTTTGCAGAGTCCTCGCATTGTTGCATGCAGCGTTATGGAACCGAAACTAATCAGAATCTTTACGCCGGTTGACATTTATTTGTTGGTTGCGCAAGCAGTCGCCTGTATGTAGCGCACTGCTTTAATGAGTACAATCAATTTGCACATCAATCAACGAGGTTTTTAGAGCGAGAGAGCGATGGTTAGAGATTATAGGGAGAGGTGGAGAGACAGGAGGAGGGCCTAAAATTCACTTTTGGACTGACGCCCGCGCAAATCTGTCATCAATCAGCGTCAGGCGAATGCTGCTTATCATATTGCCAGTAGACGAAACGCCTGCCACTGCATCAAATTGATATTTGCCAATACTTTTTTTGTTGTTGCTGGTGCTGTTGCTATTGCTGTTGCTGTTGCTGTTGCTGCTGCTCCTCCTCCTCCTCCTCCGCTGGATGCTCCTGCGTCTGGTGTGGATGCTCCGGATATTGTTGCTGCTGCTGCCGTTGGTCGTTGCCGCTGTGATAAATGTCATCTGACATGACAAAATATGCTCTCTGCGGCTGCACAGAGACGTGACAAATGTCGGCAGGGAGCATGAAATGCTGGAAAATTACCCATAAATGGTCGAATAAATTGAATTAAAAATTCAAAATACATACTCGTATATACATTCGTATGCGTGCATGTGCACTTATCTTACCCACATTTTGTACTTTATCCAGCAGATCTAGCACCCCCAAAGTAGAGAGCGATGCATTTCCAGCAATCGGATTCGTTGAGTGTATCCGTCTTGAAGGGCCCTACACGACCCTCTCACAGAGACAGCCAGGCAGGTGATCGTCCTTCGGGGCTGTGCTGCCAAGTGCTTCCCTAAGTAAATCAAATATTTGTCAATATTCTATCTCCGTTGAGCTGAGCGCTTCCAGTTAATATTTGCTCTGCTGAAGACCCAATTCCATCCAAAGCGCAACTATCAACGAAGCTGAAGGACAACTTTAATGCACACAGCTCTGCCATTAAGAGAGGCTCCTGGAGCCTGGAGCTGTGGAATGTGGATACTGTGTACAGAGTAGAGGGGAGGAGGCCCTTGGGGGGAATCTTGTTAGGCTCTTGAGCCACTTGCAGCTGCTACTTTGGCAGCTTCTTTGCCACGATACGATGTCCTATACCCATCTACGGGTACTGGTATGGGTATCTACCAGCTTGTTTTCAATTATCAGACATTACACTTAGATACACACATGGATACACATCACATGGCCGCCTTCCTCCCCACCCCTGACAGATTGTATGTGTGAACGAACACTGAGGAAACTTTTTATGAACACGTCTGCATTTTACATTCATAGATAGAAGGAGAAAGCTATGTGTGTGTGTGTGTGCTCGTATAACTCGAATAAGAATCTCCCACACACATCCACTCACATGGCTGATTAGCAATGGCACAATTAACCCCCTGAGGCCTACACAATGTGGGGAAGGAAATTGAAATCACCTTTTCACATCCTCCCTCTTTGCTGTCCGTAGCGAACAATGACTTGGCAAGTTTTAATTAACCCATTGTGTCGCTCTTCCTGCTTCGTGGCAACAATTATCATACGTATGCACAATACAACATATCATGTATGTATATACCCAATAAGCTCGACAAAATGTCGCTGACAGTCAGCAGTTTTTAATTAATTTTTACGCTTCGTTCGGGGTGTTTCAATGGCAACATAAATTCCAGATTAAAAATAGCCGCGATTTGTGGAATTCCTTGTGGTTGCCTTTGATTTTAGACGAGAGCCTTGGTAATTCGCTGAAGTTCGTGGTAAAAGAACGTTAGCTGTGCGGCTGGTTTGGTAATACATGGCGCTGTCTGCCTGCACACTTTTGATCTTCTGCTATGCTCAATAGAGTTACTCTTCCAGATTAAGTCTTTAATTGCACAAAAAGAAAAAAAAAACTTAAAGATAATTCATTTCAAAGAGTCTGATGATTTTCCCGGAATAGAGAGAGTATCCACGTTATCAATTTAATTCCTGGAACAGACAGACAAGAGCTCTTCCCTCGCTTGTGGGTGTTTAAGCCGAATTTGGTGGGCGAATTCCTTCTCATCTTTTATAGTTTTTCCTAAAGTTTTTTTTTGTTTTTTTGCTCTACAAAGTTTTTGTAATGTGTGAAATTTTGTGCCTGCCGCAATTCTCCTTCTGGTTCTCGCTTGAGGCGCCTCGAAAGTCTTTTGTCTGCGGTTTCTGGCAATGTGTGTGTGTGTGTGCTGAGGTTGGGGCGGCGTGGAGCGTCTTAATTAGCTAATGGCTGCCTTGCTACTCGTCCTTGCAAGGCACGAAAAAGAGCTTAGACTGCTTTCCAGCTCAAACTCAATTTGCCACGTAACAAACTGCCCTGATTGGCATGCAAAAAAAAAAGACAGAAGGTGGCTGCCAACCAGAGTCGCCTTCACCTTCGCCATTGCCTTTCGTCTTTTCTGTGCATTTTATTAGTAATGCAGCCGGGCGGGCGGCCAGCGCTTCCTTTTCTTTTGTCAGGCCTTAATGCATTTTCAGGGGATTTGGCCAGAACGAAACTTTAATACTGATCAGCCTCTTCTAGTGCAGCACTAATTTCAATTCGATGCAATTTGTGGCACGTCCAAGGTCGGGTTCATGTCCTTTTCCCTTACCCAAGATCCTCTGGAAACATCTGCTAAAGTACACTTAATGGTTTATGTAAATTCCGGCTCCTCCTGCTCCGACTGGCCCCTGAAAGCGACTTTTAATATGTAGCCACATAAACATTTCGCTGCTCTGTGGTTTTTCGTCTATACATATATACGTATTCGTATCTGTTGGCTTTTATGTAAATGGCTGGCTGGCCAACAGTGCGTATGATGTACACATAAAATGTTTACGAGTGCCGTAATAAAATCAAATCAAAATTTAATGCTTATACAAGACAGGAGTGGGGTGGCGCCGGATGGAGTGGAGTGCAGGGATCTGTTGGTCAGCAAGAGGAGAGCCTTTTATGCCTTTGCATCCATCAAAATGTCAAATGAGCTGTCCACACACACACACACACACACACTCACAGCACTGAGGGTTGGATATGGCTGACCATATGGATATATCCTGACCAACCGTCCCATCCCTCAAACACAACGTACCTTTGTTTGCATGCCAGCCCCGCCCCTCCACAGGAGCATCAATCAGGCTGCAGTCGGGAAATGAGTCCATCCAGGATCCAGGATTTACGCCTGGCGCCTGGGAAGAGTTTCACCTAATCCATTTTACGTGCCTGCTATGAATATCCCAGGGCCACGTCTCGACTCCACTTCATTTACCGCTCTGGTCGAGCATAAGAAATGAATTTACTTATCTGTAAGGGAAAATTCGTGTTTTCTGTCCCGACATCCCCCATCCACCACCTCCCATTTCCCATCCCTCATTCATCTTCCGATGGTGATTTCCTCTTCCGGCAAAAGTCATCATCAAAAATCCCAAAAATCTACAATTCTCTTTTACTTAATCTATGTAAATGGAAGAGGACTTAGAAGGTATGCTGCAAGCCAAAGCTCGACTCAATTATCACACACAATTTAAATATAAAACAACAACCCATTAAACTGACTGGCTGATGAAAAGCTTACGAAAATTAAAGTTCCAAAACGGCCAAGGTTTTACTAAATACTGTCACTTGGCCTAAAGCGGCTTACGAGCTGTTTGTTATTTAATGTTCAATGTTCAATGTTTTAAGTCTTAAAAGCTAGCAGCTTCCAGTGTGTGAAATGGCTAAATAAATTTTATGCTGCTATTGCATTTGTCCTTGCTCTAATAATTTAAAAATTCTAGTGAAACCTTTAACAATATCTTTTTAGTATAATGACGTGAAAAGTAGCGTAGCAGTAGTAGAAAGTAGTTCATGGGAACAGCTGAAATATAGGAAAAATATGCATCTATCGACACTAAACGCATTTCTTCGTGGGATGCCTACGTCTCGATCCGCCCTACTACAGACACTGATTAATCTGGCCCTGATGCCAAGCAATTTGGATCAGAATATCGATATAGGCACGCAAAATGTTCTTAAATTTCATACCCGAATGCGACCAGCATCTTGAAATAATCGCAAGAATGTATAGAATTTACCCGAGGCTGCTTCAAGGTTAATGTTGAACTTTTGCGGCGGAAATAATTTAGCAGAACGCTCCAAACATGGCCTTGAGGCGGGGTCGGACGCAAAAGTTGTTCGCTCCTCAAGAGCCTCACGAGCGCGGTGATTTCAGTCGCAGGCAGTGCCCGGCCGCCCGCCCACTTCGTTCGCTCATCGCCAAGTCAATCAAGTTTTAATGATGCCACAATAGACCCTCCCGCTGAATAATTTACGAAATGTCCACGGGGCATTATTCTCGGGGTGTTGTATTTGTCCGTCTTACACCCTGACTCTCACTCTTTGTCTGTGTGTGTGTGTGTGTGTGTGTGGGTGGTGTAGATTGTTGCATACTTATGGGCTGGCTGGAATCTGAAATTTTAATTGTTGGCCATTTTCCTTAAGTGTCGGGCAATAATTTGAAATAACTCATGCGATTCCTAACGAGGGAAACGAGATTGCAGTAGGGTTTTCGATTTACACAGTTTTATTTATTGAAAAATACGTTTTCGGCTTCATTTCTTTGTCGTAAATAGGTTTGCATTTTGGGGACTTTTTTCTGGGTGTTTAGACATATGCATTTTATGATATGGTTTCCAATTATGGATTTTCGTATTCGACTAGCTCATTACACGAGTACTCGTACACACACAAAGATATACCCAAATACATATACATATATACTATTAGATACTATATACTATAGCTTGGTTTTTAGACCCTGTCTAAGGGTCTCGTAGTTGAACTCTAAAAATACAATATGCTCTCTCGTGAGTTTGCTTCAATGTTTTTTGGTTTTCATTTAGCGACAACACAGTCTAAAAGTAATTTTTGTTTGTTTGTTTTCTTTGGGTTTTTGCCAACATTTCTCATTGTTTCGCCAGATTGGGGTTTAATTCATTTTCATTAGGGCGACAGCGGTCCGCCCCAGCGTCCATCTTCATTATCCAAGAGGGCCAGAGCCAAAGCCAGAGCCAGCCGATTGTCCATCCATTCTGGTGGCGCCGCTGGACTCCACCGTAAGCCTCTCCGCCTACGTAGCATTGGGGCCCGGCCCCATCCGGAGGAGACTAATTCAAATTTAGTTTACCTCAGTCAATGCCACTGTCTGCCCTCCAGCCTCCAGCCTCCCACCACATCACAGTCGCCTCCTCGGGGGCCTAGCTGCTGGCTGCTTTCTGCTTTCCGCCGTGGCACGCCTTACAACAGCCTCTCCAGATCCTCGCTCTCCGCATCGCTGATGAAGGAGTCGGTGTCTGTGAAGTAATCATCGTCACATCGATTGCGTCGACAGCAGACGCGGCGACCCATCTCCTCATCGCTCCAGTGCTCGAATTCCTCCTTGTGGTGCTCCAGCAGCATTAGCGAGGGAAACAAACTATCGCAGCCACTGCAGCTGTCGAGTGGAGGAGATACAAACAATTGCCGGGGAAAACAAGAGAAGGAAAAGTGAAAAGTGAGGGCGTCCGCTGGCTTAATTAAGTGCATATTCCCTTACCCAAAGTGTCGCTTCTTCTGTTGGTGCGAAGCCAGCTGACGGTGGCAATGGAAAGCCCGGTCGCACACGTTGCAGGTAAGCGACTCATCTGAAAGTGGAAGGGATTGACTCTCTCGGCGCTGTACCTCTGGCTCATCAGTTAGCCATTATGCCACATGGACACAGCACTCACCGTAGTCATCATCATCGTCAGCCATGGCCAGGGCATGCAGTCGACTTATTGTGTTTTCGTTAATCTCCTTCGATGTGGAAGGGGCCCCAGCAGCAGCAGCAGCAGCAGCCAGCTCCTTTGATGTCTTGCCTTTGGCCTGGCACAGACCCAGCTCGCACAGGGCACTCTCCACCACAAAGTTGCCCTGACAATCGGCGTCCGTGCAGGCTGAAAGCGACAGGTTGCCATTCCCATTTCCACACCCATTCGCGTGGCCATTCCCGTTGACATTGACGTTGGCATTGGCTTCACCTGGTGGCTCTCCATTGCCGTTGTTGGCATGGCTGCTGCAGCCAGCATTGGAGTTTGCTCCGAGCATTTCAAAGTCGTCTAGCTCATCGAACGGATCATCGATTTTGTGGCCCAGTGACACGACATCGTCGGCCTCGGCACTGAGTCGTCCGTATGCCTTCCGTGGGGGACGCTTTACGTATTTGTCTGACATAGAATGAGGGTAGGAAATTCATGAAGGATATTGATAAAACTTGCCGTGTCTCCGTTTAAATGGTTTTCACTTTTTTTGCACCATTTTCTTTGTCTTTCCCACAGATTGGGAATTGAGAAATGCTGCTCCTCAATGCAGCACACAATTTATGCAGGGAGGCCTTTGTTTCGCTTTCGCTTGTCACTGAGGCAAAACTTTTCCTCTTTTTCCCCATTCATTCTCTGTCATTCTCTGCCTCTGTCCTCGAAAGCCGCGAAGTGATAAAATGGGATTTATTGAGGGTATTGTGTTTGTGTCTGATTGGAGGGGAAAGAGTACCATAAATAGTTTTCTGGCTCTACGCTCTACGCTATAAACCTTTTATTTACGGCCCAAAAATGAATGGAACGAGTATGTTGGATTTTTTATGACCAGTTGGTCATTCGAGGTCTCATTAGCAGCTCATTATGTGGGCTTGACTCACTGCTGCCTGGAATTGCAATCGGGTCCACCAGTGCGTATACGTGACGACACGAAATTGCCATTTCTGGATTAAACGCCTTTAAATGTTTAAGTAAACAAAAGTACAACGTTCTTACATGGTTGTAGTAAATCGACTTCGAATGAGAAACCGAACGAATATCAACTCCACAGCGAATCCTCCTTCATAAAATATCGCTTAGTGGTTGTCCTCTTGTCGTCTGTTCCATTTGTGGTTTCTCCGACCAAAAAGCGAACACGAAAATATGAAAAGTGTGACTGAAAGAAACCCAAACAAACTCCAAAACCCATGTACAGCGTATGCCAGTGGTGGGGCAGCAGAGGAAGGGACGGAGCGATGGCGTTGAGTGAAACTCAATTTTATCGCCAAATTGTGCACCATCAGAGTTGGGGCGCTAAATGCGTATGCTGCAGACCGACCTTAAGAGCAGTGTTTACCGCGCGGACTGACTGGTCTGGGACGGGGAGTGTGTGTTTGCGATTCAAATTTATGGCACAAAATGCGAGTTCCGTTCGGAAGAGAACGCCTTAAAGTTTAGCAAGAACATCCAGAGAGACTGTAATCTCGCCGAGATAAAAGTTTCTCTCGATTCTACTTTAGAATTACAGCACAAATTATTACAAATGATGCCGCCCGGCGGCAACAAAGTATAAATCATGGCACAAACAACAGAACAGACAGGGGCCAGCGTTATTAATACGCCAGATAAATGCCTAATAATTCTTCTCCTGCTGAGACTGAGACCCAAGACATTCTTCCCAGAGAACGAGAAAATGCCAACCATAATTTATGATATGTTTTGTTGTTGTTGTTGTTGTTGTTGCTATCATTTCGGTTGTCTGGGAGAGCAGCTACCAGAACTAATGATGCCTGCAGCCAAAGAGAGAGCCAATGAACAAGGAAAGCCAAAACAGCGAGACCTTCCAGAGCCTAGAGGTTGAGATACTATGGCAGATCTAGTCTGCTTCGAGTGTGAAGCCGGGAAAATATGTTATTCTCTCTGCTACACGGCTCAAAATCGTAATACCCTCTGGCATAAAGAGTATAAAATTACAGAAAAAAACGCTGGAACCTCAGCTAATTGGCTACACATTGGCTACGCACACACACACACACAGAGAGATGCTAATTGCCGTTGCTTGTTTTACAATTTACTCGCCTCTCCCCTCGCAACTGTTTTCGCAAATTGAATGCACAAACGCATTATTATCAATGACAAATGGCTGTCATAATTATCGGTTAATGCTGCTGCCATATGTTGTCCCAGCATTTGCATAACTGATATGTACATCAATCCCTCTCTTTCACTCACCCACACCCACATCGACATCAACACCCCTGCCTCTTTCCGCTCATTATGTGAGGATGTGTGAGGACAATACATATGTTGACAAAAGCTTAAGGGCGTCTGCCGCCCTGCTCGTACATGTTGTTGTTGGTATTTGTTCAAGTTGGTAAATTACATTTTTTATGATTAAATTTCACGTTTGCCGAAAGCGTTCGAAAAAAATAACAAATTGCCCATTGCAATTAATGGCGCAAAATGTTGGCGAATTTGTAGAGTGAATAATGGCAATTCGCAATATTTGCAATATTTGCAACATGCGGAAAGGTTAACAATTATTGGCAAAGAAATTTTTAATTAAATGTTGATTTAATGGGAAATCACCGATTTTTCGTGATAGCGGAAACTGTTTGAGGCAAAAACATTCAAGGAGGGATGGTGGATTATTTCATCGTATGGAAGACGTGAGTGTCTGACAGCAAAGTACAGTAAATCATACTCGCAACAGCCTGTGAGGGATATGCTTTTCGCATATGGTGTCTTTGAGGAGGATTTCGACTGGGTTTTGCAGCAAAGCATTTAAGCCCCAGGGTTTCAGAGGCTTCTCTTTAAAGAACCTTGAAACTAAGCACAGAATCAATTGGAAAAGCTAAAACAATTGCAATCAAGTAAAAATTGACATAGCCAAAGCTTTGGAAAACAGATTGCCTGCCAAGAAAAATGAGTGTTAGTGAAAGTAATTTAAACTGCGGCCGAAACTGTAATTGCCATTTGGCCGTGTTTGCTTTCAGTTCGTTCCAACTAATTAATATGCACATCCGAGCATGTGTATGTGTATTGGACGGATCTATAAATTGAGAGACTCCCCGGGGGCTATAAGCCGGGGGATGGGACACTGCGCAAACAATACAGGAAAAATCGAACAAACCAACAAAAACCAACTAAAAATCTCGATGACTTGCCTCTGGGATGCCGCTTTCTATCTTCTGGCCATTTCCTGTGCGGGCGTGAGATTTAGCGCCTAGACAAAAGCATCTGGGAACTGGGAACGGGACCGAGGCCTAAATTGTTTTATTTTCCGACAGTCACATCCGTGCCACGTTTAGGTCCTGACACGTGCGGAGGCTCATTATTGCGTAGGCTTTCGAGGGGCTCAATGCTATTTGCTTTACTTTGTGCTACACCCACTCGCACTTTGTGTTACCCCTAGATATTCTCTGCCAGAGATAAAGATAAACAATATAGCATATGCACGCACATGTAAATATATCCCACAAGTCATTTCGAGAATTCTAATTATCATGTTCTGATAACGAGTCTGAGTTGGGCTTAGGCACTGAAGTCGGGTCTTAACAGGAACATGATGTGCATTTAAAGCAAAATAATTCCCCAAGAATTTGAGAGGAATCTAAATCTGAGCTGCAGTCATGTGATTGTACATGAGAATCGTTACAGGAAGGGAAGTTTGCTTCTATTTTAATTAAAGTTTTCAAGGGGGATGTCTACTTTTCTTTCTCATGGCTTTTGTTTCGGGATGCTCTGGGACTTCCCTACCTCTACCTCTTCTTGTTCTTTTTTACATGCATTTCCTACTAAGAATAGAAGTCTCTCAAGGAAACTTCCCTTAACAAACCTTTCTTGAGGCTGTCAAAGTATCTGTTAATGCCTTTTATTGATAATCTCTTATTCTATTGTATCCATAATTTTCGCTCGCCAAAGTTTGACCCGCAATTATATTAATTACAGACGTAGCCCATAATTGATTAATCGTCCTAATTAATGGCGGACTCTGGCCCGAAACTGATTGCTGCTGGCCATCGGCGATTTACCTTGAGTGCTGTTGCTGTGGTTACTTCCATTCGAGTTGTTCTTGGAGAAGCTGCAGTTGTTGTTGAGGGAATTGAAGAAGTTGGCGGCGCCCGTGCGGCGTAGAATCCAAAACATTTTTGATTATTTATAGTTTCGTTTACTTTCTGTGATATGTGTGGCAACGCGGAGAAGTATGCTATGGACAATGCCGCACCGACGGCATTTCCACGCCACGCGGCGGACGCTGATAAGCGAAGTATAGAGACTGTGGAGCCTCGGACACGATAAGCGACGACTACGACGTGGACGAGGACGAGAACTCACGAGCAGCGATTGCCGAGAGCTGCTGGCGACCGTGTTGTGTCGATGTCTTCAGCCAACTGACGGGAGCCTGCCTCGGGACTCGCATTTTATAGCGCTCTCTCTTTCAGCGACAGAGAAAGTGTGTTTCGAGAGAGGGAGAGAGTGAGTGAGAGTTTTCGGTTTTATGTTCTCCCCGTAACGTAAGGCCTTACGTCGAGGACTGCTCTTTTGATGTCCCGTCCCGTCCGCCACTTGGGGCTCTGGGCTCTGGGCTCGGGGTAAACACTAAACTTGACCTTCGTCAACAGTTGCATGTTGTGGGTCCGCTGGCAGCTCATAATTTGTTTTGTTTAATAAATGATTACGTATGCGTCGTGTTGACACAACCCCCGTCTCCGTAATACACCCGATTGAAGCCAGCTGTCAGTCTGTGCTGGCGCTGGAGCTGAAGCTGAAGCCACTAAAATGCCTATCAATCATTCAAACCGGAAGCGGATACAACATTGTTGTCCCTCCTTTCGCTGGCAGACAGTGTTTAAAGTTTTTATATGCGTCTTATCGGACTGGGGCTGCGCTGCTCAATTAGACGGCGACGGCGGCGACAAAGACTCGGGCTCTGTGACTCTGTGGAAGCGGAAATGCCGCACGACACGCAGCCGAACGCCATTCAACTTAACTGCTGGCAACACATGCATCCCATCCGCAGCAAAGTTTCCACTTTATGGTTAACGCTTTCCTACGCAAACAAAGCTGGAATGAAGGGTGTAGATGTCGAGGATATTCCGACTACAGGATACCTGGTACTCGGCATTGGCATTCAACAGAAGCGCATACCGCTGGCAAAACTCTGAATGTCATGAACATTGCACAGTCTTAAGGACCTTCCTCCTTCCGGCACTTCAAGGTTATACCCTTACTCGTTGAAGTTACGAGGTATCCGCCTACCTAAACTCGCACCATTAGCGTTCAAGTGCAACGCCAGTTCATGCCCTGCGAAGTGTCGCCTCGCATTTGGCTTCGTCTCAATGCGTTTATTTGTTGCACGCGCTGGTGGCTGGTGGCTGGTTGCTGGTGGATGGTGTTCTTAAAGCGCTCTCAACTTTAATGCCGCTCGACAAATGTCTGGCCACAGGACACAGGACACAGGACGAGACCAGCCATAGCCATCAGCAGTGATTTGATGAGTCAGTTTCGGGTCAGCGCTTTTGGCTTTGTTCAGGGTAACACGATACGATGATTGTACAGGGGCACACAAATACAGAGAGTGGCTGTTTATAATGGAGGAAGGCATACGTGTGGAGTGTGGAGTGTGGAGTATGGAGGCGAGGCTAGTGCCTTAGTGTGCATAATAGATTTGCAATGAATTATTTAATCAGAGAGTTGACGTTCAACAATTCAAATTGCCACAAATTGCGCTCCGAACTTTTGGCACTGCCTGCCAGCATTACAAATTCATTTGGTACGTGCCAAAGTCACAACGAATGAATCCAAATGGATCCCATCCAAATGATTTGCCGTTTGAACTTTCGGATACTCGTATGTTGCGCCAAAACTTTTGCACATAAATTATGCACTATTAAACGCTCATGGGTTATGCATATCCGCAGCAAGCAAACATCATTGAAAACAACAAGAAACCACTCTGACAACAATTAGATACATTTCCATTCAGAATTCATGTAACCAGATAGTTATGTATGTCCGACCAATCGTGCGAACTGATGTCAAATCGGACACTTGAACCCTACTATTTAGTTTGAATTTTGGAACTTGAGACTATAAATGCATTACCTGCCCCCTGCCACATGATGTGATTGTCGGTTCGGTATTCCCTATCTGCCTCAAAATGCCTAAAATTGATAGTTATATTTATTCAATGTGGTCCTTGGTAAGTTGCTAGCTTGAAAGCTATGCAAAGTTGACAGACTCGACCTCAATCAATATTGATGGGCGGGCATTCGGTTTACTGGGACTACTTCAGCATCTCGGCATAGAACTTTCTGTGCTTGAACTTAATTCTCAGCACACAGCTGCAATTAATTTATGCAAGAGGATTTAAGTGGGCGACAAAATGATCCAATCATACTCACCCAATCAGAATAAACGATATCATGTTGAGCGCCGCGCTGAGGAAGTTGAATCCGCCCGGATTGCTGGCCAGGGAGCCCTTGTAGATAGCCGTGTACAGGGGTGCGGCCACTGCATTCAAATTGTGATGGATAGGGATAACGCTTAAGGGGGAAAATCACTCACCAAAGGGTGCCACCGATTGAACAATGTTGCCAATTGCAAAAAGTTTACCTGCAATGCAAGATTTTCTAGTTCACTTGGAATGAGGGTACGTTTTTCATACCCGTATCAGAGGCTGGAACTATATTGGAGATTATGGTGCGACACATGGGGCCCTGAATGGAGCGAAAGACTCCGAGAACCACCGACAGATATAAGTGCCAGGGCAGGAAAGCAAAGCCCTTGGCCAGACTGCTGAGGATCTCCGAGATGTCAGAGAGTAGGGCCAATGCAACCACAGATAGACCAAAGATCTGGAAGACGAGTGCAAATACTCAATACCAAGGGGCTTTCTTGGGCGAAACCCATACCTTTTTAAAAATAAGAAAGCCTAAGAGAACTCCTATCAGAGGTACCGATTGACTGACTGTCTCAAAGATGGTGTACTCGCGAACAGTCAGGTGAAACTGTTGACGCACATACAGATACATCACAGTCATAACGCCATCTGAGGAGACACCGTATCAATCATTCTCGTAGATCTCGTAGTCAGATGCCAGGGAAACACTTACCGCCCACAAAGATGGTGACACAGCCAGCCAACGTCACCAGCCAAATGATGGTATGCGCATTATTCTCCCTCCGCTTGAAGCAGGTACTGAACATATCCTTGACGTGTTTCAGACTGAATAAACCAGGTTCACTCTCCCCTTGGTCCTGGGGTTTCTCGGGTGGTTTATCAGCCTTCTCGGATACGTTCAGCTGCTGGTCCGAGATGGTGATGGTCACCGCCGCATCCTTTTGTTTCTCTGGGACATCCTCATCATCCTGCCGCATTCTCAGGCTCTCGGGCAAATAGAAAATTATGAAGAGTGTGGTCAAGACGAGCATCGAACAGGAGAGACTCTGCACGAAGGCAGCACTGGTGGCGGCATAGACAAAGCTGGAGAGGAGCGAGCCGCTAGTGAGGGCCACAAACATAACCAGCTCCATGAACATCATTCTGGGGATAGGGATATACTAGAAACCCTTTATGGTGTTGCGTTAGTGTGGTATTCACCTATAGGGCCTCGTTTTAATATCCGATGTGTCCGATATGAAGCAAGAGGCGGCCACCGAAAACACGCACATGCCCCCAAGCAAGGAGTGCGGCACTGCGGCCAGAGTGTACCACCACGGATTGACCATATAGTAGCTGGACATCCAGCAAATAGTCGATGAGATGACGGAAGAGGCAGAAAAGCCAATCATGGATACTATCAGCAGGGGCTTGCGTCCGTAGTGATCCGACCAGGAGCCTATAAAGAGTCCACAGATTGCAGGAACAATGCTCTCGAAGAGGGTGCGGATTAGGAACATGTTGGCCACGTACGATTGCAGCTCTGTTTCGATGGCCTGCCAGAACGGGGAGAGTACTATACATCAAAATTCTTAGGATAGTATTTATCTTTGCTTCACTTGTATCTCTGTGGAGGCATTTTTGCTATCCAAAAGCTTACAGTCCGTCTCGTTGTATCGAAAGGTCACTGTGCAGGTCTGGTAGATCAGCTGATTGCGCATGATTGTTCCTGGGGGATTTGGGGATTCTCCTATACAATCTGTTCGGCATTGACAAAATGTGGCTCACCTGACAGCATGTGCGAGAAGATCAGCATAAACACGACGGGTTCTACATAGAACATATTGAAGATACGTCCCCATTTCAGACTCTTCAGTTGTGCCAGCGATGCCTTCTCTACCATTTTCACAGGGCTTATATTTTATAATCAATTAAAATAGTCAGAGATTCAGCTCTCAATCTGATAACTCTTTATGTAATTTGTTATTCAACCTTCAGCAGAAATGTGTCCACACGTTTATTCTGATCACAGCCGATTATTAATTATTGAGCTGGACTCCTCGCTTCGCTGGTTCCACAATTCACTCAGGCGACACGGAAGCAGCAACAGAATCAGAATCCGCGGCGGGAACGCGACAATTTTTGGTTCGATTTCGGTGGGTTTTCAAACACGAAATGAGCAGCCAGCTCGCCACTCGCACGTTTATATAGTTTCGCAAACCTATTAGAATTTAGGCGATTTTTATGGGGATTTTCGTGCTGTAATTGCAGTCTCTTTACCATTTCCAAGCGTGTATCTACTGTTAAACAGACAGTATGCAATTTATTTGTTGATATGTAAGCTATGTGAAATCCAAGCACATAACTTTCACACTTTTGAGTACAGGGCTCTGCACTTAACCCTTTACCCCTTAACCCTTAACCCCTGATGGGGAAACTTTTCTGGTGGCATGAGGCCCACCCTCACAAAATTGAGTAAAAGTGTTTTGTAGTCAGGCCGCGCCCAAACGAGCGGCAACTTTTCCTGGGTAAATTACAGGCGAACACTTCTGGGAACTCCCTCGTTCTCCCTCCGGGTCTTGTTTCACGCTTTTCCACTATTTTCCCCTTTATTGCACAGCATGAAATATGCATAAAGATTTTAAGTTTCGAAAAAAATAAACTCGGGAAGAACCGCGAGACAATGATACACGGTACTACAAAATCGTCTGAATCACCTATGGGTCTTAATAAAGGCAAACAAATGGTCTTACTTTGCTTCCTCTAGTAGGAATGTTACATACACTTACTCAAGCTCAATATACCCTTCAACTGTGAGTACTCTGTATAAAAAGGGGAGAACAGTTTACCAAATAATTTGATAATTATTTCTGAAGCTTGGCTTCTTCTTGCAGCACAAAGTGGTGCTCGTTTGCTGGTTGTTTTTATGAACTGCCTGGGCTGGCCTGGCATGGTTGCAATGTTCTCAAACAAAAG